CTGAAGAGCAATCCCACCCACTTTTATTCCTGTTGGGGCATGGCTCCGTGACTCAGCTCAATCTCTGACCCTCCCACGCCTCTTCTGTTGCTGCGCACGCTTCTCCCTCCGACGCTGCCTGGGATCAAGCCAGGATTCATCATCCTCGCTCCCTATCAATTGGTGCTCCGATATGCCTTCTTCCTGGCACATCCCAGGCTGTTCCTCCTGGCCTTCGGATGGAACCTGAGGCATTGCCAGAAAGGAGGGTCCTGGAGAGGGAGGCCTTGTCAGTTCCTCCCCATCACCTTCTGAGTCCTCCTCCTCTGTTAGGACAGGCTCGGGAGTCGGGGTCACAACAAGTCTGCATTTTTTCCCTCTGGAACTCCATTCCTACTCCCACACCATTCCAAGGGCGTTAGTCCCAAATTGCATAGCTAAAAGTCTGCAGAGATTCTCAGTCATCCAGGTCGTAGTTGTCCCAAAGTGCTTTTTTCTTTTGAATACGTTTTGCTTCTCATCCAAGAAGCTCCTTCAGCTCTGACGGGATCGTTCTTTTTTCCATCCTCTTCAGCAGCATGAATTCTTTCTGGTTTTATTTTTTTTTATCACAAGGGTCATGTGAACCCTGTGTAGGAATAGGAGACAGGGGAGGTAAGGTTAGCCTAGCACAAGGCATGTATCGGCGGATTAAATTCCATTTCTCTGCATGGGAGAAGAAACGAAACGAATCTGATTTCACTGATTAGCAGAGCTGCATGCTAGCTAGCTAGAGGAAGGTGACATCGTATTTATTTATTCTGAAACCATCTTCTTCTTGCTGGGTTCCTTTTTAAAAAGGCAGTTGGAAGCCCTCATGCCTGCCTTCCCTGAAGCTTTTCTCTGATTCTGAAAATCAAGTTAGAAGCTTACAAGGTAATTCTAGGCAGGCGTGTGACTCAGTGGAATTTGCTCCCAGAAAATTGGGTAGAAAGGTACAACTTTCTTTTAATGAAATCTGGCTGGGCCAATCACCAGGAGACGGTGAGTTCTAGTCCCGCCTTGAAAGCCCACTGGGTGCCAGTCACACAAACTCAGTCCAACCCACCTCACAGGATTGTTGTTTTGGGGGAAATAGGCGGACGGCGGCGTATGATGTATGCCTGCTGCCTTGAGTACTTCTAGTATTATATTTATAGTATTGCGTATTAAAGGTAGAATAAAAATCTATTAATTAAATGAACAAATACCGATAAAGAAGAATATTTGTAGCTCAGGCTTGAAAAGAGGGGTCCTTGGTTTTTATTTTTTATTTTATTTTAATTCAAACAATCCATCTTCCATTAAACAGTGTGTCGTCTGGGTACAAATGTCTTGTGCAATAAAAATTAAAATTTACATCCATATTCATTGTTTGTCTATTCTTAACTTAATACTGATATACATAGCATATCTAATACTGTGACAATCCTCTTCTCAACTTACTTAATTCTATTGATATATTTTCTATATTTCACTAATCTACTTTTATTTCTAACTTTCATATTTATTCTCTAGCCATTGGTAGAATAATTCCCATATAATATAATATTCAGTTTGTTCCTTCTCTTTGATTGCAAGCGTTAACCTATCCATTTCTGCACATTCTAATATTTTCCTCATCACATTCTCATCCGTAGGAATCTCTTCACTTTTCCAATTTTGTGCAAATCTTGCAGACATCTTCCAGAAAACAACCCAGATCAGAGAGCACCCAGGGGGTCCCTCAAATAAAAAAAATTAAATTATCCTATTTATTTACCAACACCATTCTTACATTTGCCCATATCTGTATGTGCAAAACATCCGTTCTAGGTAGAGAAGGGAGCTATGAGCATTTTAGCAAGCTTATTCTATGCCCCGGACTCTCACAAGAAGGGCGAGTTTCTTGATGGCAGGCCTTTTGAAGGACTTGTCTTAAAAGCTTACAAAATTAAAAATGCTACCTCATTAATTAGGGATGTCATTTTGATTAACTCAAAGGTTAATCGTTTGATGTTTGTAACAGACTAATCAGCGAAAGCTTGCCACGCTAATTTTGAGATAGATTCCTAAGTAGGGGTGGGGTATTTTTCCACCGTGGCTTGTAGATGCACAGTGTGTAGCCCCTTCCGAGTCATTCCCAGACTGCCTGAAGGATGCTCAAAGGGCTACCCTGGAACAGCCTATCATCCTTCCTCAGGTGTTATTACACAAGCCACTATAGTGTGTTTGTGAAGCGGGAGTCTAGTGATTAAGGCACCAGGCTAGAAATTGGGAGATTATGACTTCATGTCTCATTTTAGGCATGAAAGCTGCCCGGGTGACTTTGGGCCAATCACCAGGAGACTGTGAGTTCTAGTCCTGCCTTAGGCATGAAAGCTGGCTGGGTGACTTTGGACCAACTCACCAGGAGACTGTGAGTTCTAGTCCTGCCTTAGGCATGAAAGCTGCTGGGTGACTTTGGACCAATCACCAGGAGACTGGGAGTTCTAGTCCTGCCTAGGCATGAAAGCTGGCTGGGTGACTTTGGGCCAATCACCAGGAGGCTGGAGTTCTAGTCCTGCCTTAGGCATGAAAGCTGGCTGGGTGACTTTGGGCCAATCACCAGGAGGCTGGGAGTTCTAGTCCTGCCTTAGGCATGAAAGCTGGCTGGGTGACTTTGGGCCCATCACCAGGAGGCTGGGAGTTCTAGTCCTGCCTTAGGCATGAAAGCTGGCTGGGTGACTTTGGGCCCATCACCAGGAGGCTGGGAGTTCTAGTCCTGCCTTAGGCATGAAAGCTGGCTGGGTGACTTTGGGCCAATCACCAGGAGGCTGGGAGTTCTAGTCCTGCCTTAGGCATGAAAGCTGGCTGGGTGACTTTGGGCCAATCACCAGGGCTGGGAGTTCTAGTCCTGCCTTAGGCATGAAAGCTGGCTGGGTGACTTTGGGCCAATCACCAGGAGGCTGGGAGTTCTAGTCCTGCCTTAGGCATGAAAGCTGGCTGGGTGACTTTGGGCCAATCACCAGGAGACAGTGAGTTCTAGTCCTGCCTTAGGCATCAAAACAATCCTGCCTCGCAAAGTTATTGTTGTATGGAAAAGAGGAGCATTTGGTAAGTTGGCTTCCTTGAATCGGCTAAAAAAAAGATGTAAAACGGCAGGATAAAACATCTAATAATAATAAAAAAGCCATTGTTTTTATTTTTTAGAAACCTGTTATTTAATCAAACAATACATTTGTTTAATAATATTTAATAATATTTATTTATTTAATAATAATTGAGTAATGAAATTCTGCAAACAAATAACTGGAGATCTGCAAGCCAATCACCGAGGCCAGAGGACATAAAATAATTCAATACAACTAGGCTAAGTGATTGCATCTGGCTGCAAAAATCAGGGCGACCAAAGGGGGCAGCAGGGAGTTTTACTGTAGCTTAGCTCTGTTTCTGTCCGCTGCCCCCTAAACGGTGACCCCTTCTTTTTCCTCTCGAGGACGCCCTCTGCTGGTAGCTACCACCTCCGGCGACAATATTGATGTCTGAGCGCCCTCTAGCGTCCCTGATGGAAGCTTTTCCCCCAGGTCTTCAGTGCTGCAGGACCGTCTCACGAATGCAGCTGCCTGACTGCAAGGCTCCAGAGGGAATTTCTCCAGAATTGCTGCTCTTTAAGACACTTTTGGATGTTTAGGCTTGGGGGGAAAAAAAAATCCCACCAGCCGATGGAAAGGAGGCCACGCAGCAATTCTGTCCCCGCAGCCTTCTGCTTCTACGGGAGTGCTAGTACCGCAATTCCTAGAATTTCAATTCCATTTAAAGCTGTCTAGGGATCTTCAAAAGTTAAAACAAGTAAGTCCAGTTGCCTCCCTAAAAAAGCACCTTTGGGACACCCATGACCTGAATGACTGAGAATCTTTACAGACTTTTAGCTATGCAATTTGGGATGAACACCCTTGGAATGGTGTGGGAGTAGAAATGGATTTCCAGAGGAAAAAATTGCAGACTACAGGACCCAGGAGTGCCACTCAGGTGACCTGAGGATAAACCTCCACCTGCTTCAAGGACCCTCTAAAAGGATTCAAATGACCTGCTATCTGCAAGGAATATAAATCCTTCCATTCCCCACTATCCTTCCAGAGCTGAAGAAGCTTCTTGGATGAGAAGCGACACATCTTCACAACTAATTTTAGTCGCTTTTCTCTCGCCGCCCTTCCAGTTTAGACCAGGGGTCTCCAACCTTGGGAACTTTAAGCGTGTCGGACTTCAACTCCCAGAATTCCCCAGCCAGCAAAGCTCTCCTGTCGGACTTCAGCTCCCAGAATTCCCCAGCCAGCAAAGCTCTCCTTCAACTCCCAGAATTCTCCCAGAAAGCTGGCTGGGGAATTCTGGGAGTTGAAGTCCGCTAGGCTTAAAATTGCCAAGGTTGGAGACCCCTGCTTTAGACTACAGGTAGTCCTCAATTTACGACCACAATGGGGCCCAAAATGTATGCTGGCTAAGTGAGAAATGTGTTAAGTGAGTTTTGCCTCATCTTAGTGACGACCCTTCGTGCCACATTTGTTAAGCCAATCGCTGCAAGTTGTCCAACGAGTAACATGGTCGTTAAACGAATCTGGCTTCCCCTTGACTTGGCTTATCAGAAGGTCGCAAAAGGGGAATCACGTGACTCTGGGGCACTGCGACCGTCGTAAATACGAGTCATTGTCAAACACCCACAATATAAATCACGTGATCCTGGGGATGCTGCAACGGTCGTAAGTGTGAAAAAAAAACCCGGCCCTATGTCACTTTTTTCAGTGCCGTTGCAACTTTGAACGGTCACTAAGCGAACTGTTGTAAGTCGAGGACTACCACCTGGGCTGGGCCACCTCTCCCTCCGACTCTTGCCGCACGCATGCGCGGAACGATTCGAACAGCACACCATGGGGAAAGGGGGGGGGAGAGAAAAGCAAACCTCCCGTTTAGAGCGACTCGCCGCCCGCTCATGCGCAGTGCCGGATTGACGAACCCGACCCTCACGGCGCACGCGCGAGGCCTGAGGGTTGGTGGGCGGGCCCTGCCTATATATATATTTTTTTAATCCCCCCCATCTCTCTTTTTCTCTGCGCTTGCGCAGCTAGGGGGGGGGTTCTGTGGCCGGAGGGGACCGGGCTGCCCCTCCCCAAATCCGGAGGAACCGGTGAGTGGTAGGCTGTGCAAGGCATTGTGGGAAAGGGGTAGCTTCCCTCCCCTCCCCCCCCGCTTGTACTTACTCTTGGCTCGCGGGCCCTCTTTTTTTTTTTCCCCCTCCTCTCTCTCTCTCCCCAGCCGCGGTGCATGATGGGATCGTAGACTCCGCCGTGGTCCGCTAGCCGCAGAGCATGCTGGGAAAGAAAGGCCCGGGGCCGGTTTATAGCGCTTGGCTTGGCTTGGCTGGCGGGGAGGGTGGGCAGGCCTGACTATTATGGGATGGGACCCCGGGAAAAGAGGGTGGGGTGGGGGGGGGTGCAGGCTCCCCGCCATCTCCCTCCCTCCCTCCCTCCCTCTCTCTCTTTCGTGTCCCGGTTCTGCTCCTCTTGCAGGTTGGGCCGCTGGCTTGTTTTGAGGGGTGATGTCCGAAGTACCCAAGCCGGTGGAAGTGGGCAGCTCTGAGGACATTGGCTTTGAGGAGGAGGATGGGACCTCGACCGGTGAGCGCACGGGCCAGGCGGAGCTTGGGGCCGGGGGAGTCCCTGAGCTCGCCCCGTGGGGGTCAAGCGTGTCACGGACACGAGTGGCCCTGGCTCTGGGTGTGAGTGCGTGCGTGTGTGTGTGTGTGGTGCGTTTCTGGTAGGCCTCCTCAAAATCTCCCGACAAGCTCTTTGGAATTGGGATAGGAATAGAATTGGAATAGAATAGAATTGGGATAGAATAGAATAGAATAGAATTGGAATAGAAATCAAATAGAATTGGAATAGGAATAGAATTGGAATAGGAATAGAATTGGGATAGAATAGAATAGAATAGAATTGGAATAGAAATACAAATAGAATTGGAATAGAAATAGAATTGGAATAGGAATAGAATTGAGATAGGAATAGAATTGGAATAGAATAGAATTGGAATAGAATAGAATTGGGATAGGGATAGAATTGGAATAGGAATAGAATTGGGATAGGAATAGAATTGGGATAGAATTGGAATAGAAATACAAATAGAATTGGAATAGAAATAGAATTGGGATAGGGATAGAATTGGAATAGGAATAGAATTGGGATAGGAATAGAATTGGGATAGAATTGGAATAGAAATACAAATAGAATTGGAATAGAAATAGAATTGGAATAGGAATAGAATTGGAATAGGAATAGAATTGGGATAGGAATAGAATTGGAATGGAATTGGGATAGGAATAGAATTGGAATAGAATAGAATAGAATAGAATTGGAATAGAAATACAAATAGAATTGGAATAGGAATAGGAATAGAATTGGGATAGGAATAGAACAGAATTGGATAGGAATAGGAATAGAATTGGAAATAGGAATAGAATTGGAATAGAATAGGGATAGGAATAGAATGGAATAGAATGGAATTGGAGTAGAATAGAATAGAATAGGAATAGAAACAGAATTGGAATAGAAACAGAATTGGAATAGAAACAGAATTGGAATAGAAATAGAATATAATTCTTTATTGTCCAAGCATGATTGGACACACAAGGAATTTATCTTTGGTGCATAAGCTCTCAGTGTACATAAAAGCTATAAGGGATAAATCATGATCATCGTCATAAAAATACATCATAATAAATCATACAACAGTGATAAGTGTTCACATACCGTTAGTTTTCCCGTTAATTGCACATCTTACACCAGAGCACCAGGGGGTGGCATTGTGCAAGGAGAGGAGTTCAAAGGGACAGCCCTGGAGACTTGGAGCAAAAGCATCGCTTAAAACAATTACATGCCGAAATTCCAAGTGGCACTTTGCTCTCATTACAGGTATTTCTCGACCTAACCACCACAAGGGAGCCCAAAATTGCTCATTGCTAAGCGAGACACATTGGTTAAGTGAGTTTCTGGCTCTGTTCAACTTTTCTGGCCATGGTTGTTAAGTGAATCACTGCAGCAGGCGTTTAAATCAGGTTGTTAAGTGAAGCAGGCTTCCCTGTTGACTTGGCTTCTCAGAAAGTGGCAAAAGGCGATCAGGTGACCACGGGGCACTGCAACTGTCATAAATATGAGTCAGTTGCCAATTGTCTGAATTTTGATCTCGTGACCATGGGGATGCCACAACGGTTGTGAAGTGTGAACAATGGTTATAAGTCACTTTTTTCATTGCCGTTGTAACTTTGAACAGTCACTAAATGAACTGTTGTAAGTTGAGGATTACTTGTGTTCTGCAAGGGCTCCTGCAACCCCCATGTTCTGAACGGGTTGTGAGGAATGCGTTGTCTTGGGAAATCATGGATAGCTGTTAACTGGCACCCTCTGGATAAATTGGAGTATGATTATGAACATTTTCAGCATGGTAGAAGTTTAAATTTAAAGAATCCTCTGCACAATTAATTGAAGAGTTTCTGCTTGTGGAGTGCGGGCAGAGAAAGCTATACTTGTGAATCTTTTTCTTCTTCTTCTCTCTATCTATATATAAAAGCCAAATACCATTCACTCATCACGAAATCTCCAGAACTGTAAAGCCTACAAACCTGAAATTTGGCACATATGTTCCTCTTGGCTTCTAGGTGCTCGCTAAGAAAGGATTTTTCGAAATGACCATCCGATCATTAGTATTACTTATACAATATTAACACGCTCTGATGCAATGGAGTTAGACATTCTACTCCCCCTCCCCACCTGAGAAGAACTCTGTTCCAACTGCCAGTTGCCTCACATTCCGTTATCTCAGTTCAAACCGGCAGACGTTCCATTCCTTCACTCAGGAGCAGTCTGGGACTCCTTACAATACTAAACGTCGCTACCTCACCAAAATGTCTACGCCTTCCAGCTATGGAACTGCTTCTGAACTCAAGGCGGCGGGAGAGATATTCCCTTATGAGTTTCAATCACCGACCACCACTGAGCCAACGGATTGTGAACCGAATTTCTCCTGCATAGTGTCCCAGTCCCAACTCAGTTCTTACACTGACCCACTCAGTCCAGACGCATCTGTTCCATCTACTGTAACACCAGTGAAAGGGAAAAGAGGGAAAAAATGCAGGAAAAGATTTACAGATGCGATTAGGAAAACACAAGTAAGGGAAGCTGCAAAAAAGTATCGTCAAAGTCCTCCCGAAGTCAATAGAGAGGTGGTAAAAAAGTATGCATCTAATAACCGCTATGTTAAATATGAACCTCAGAGTGATTACTCCAGGGAAAAGGTTGTTGATCTCAGATCTCGGTTAACCTGTGCCTGGTGCCATGCCCTGAAGTGGCAGGATGAGACTCCCGGGATGTGCTGCAGTGGCGGTAAAGTCCCAACTCCCGTCCCTTGAGCCCTACCCTGAACCCTTACACAGCCCAATCACGCCCAATCACATAATTTCATAGCAAAGCATGGGTATCCAGCTAGTAGAATGGAATTGGAGTAGGAATAGAATTGGAATAGGAATAGGAATAGGAATAGAATTCTTGTCCAAGTGTGATTGGACACACAAGGAATTCGTCTTCGGTGCATACCTACGAGACCACCTGCTGCAACCGATAACCTCCCACCAACCAATACGCTCTCACAGAGTAGGCCTACTCATAGTACCATCATTAAAACAATGTCGTCTAGTAGTTCCAAGGGAGAGAGCCTTCTCTGTGGGGGCACCTACTCTTTGGAACAAAATACCCCCTGGAATACGAATAATCCCAGATCTTCGCACTTTCCGATGTGCCCTGAAGACCTTTCTGTTTCAACAAGCAGGGCTAGCATAAACATCTAAATTCTATGCCAAGGTCTTAGCAGATACACTAAGTTGACTCAATTTATTATTTACTGTTTATTAACAAAAAAAATTATTATTATATGTATATGAAATCTTATTCTGTTCACTGCCCTGAGTCCTTCGGGAGAAGGGCGGTATAGAAATTCAATAAATAATAATAATAATAATAATAATAAGCTCTCGTACAAAAAAGCTATAAGTGATCAAATGATCATCATCATAAAAATACATTTGTCATAAATCTTAAGATACAGCACTTAGTGATGACAAGTGTGAACATACCGTTAACTTTCCCGTTAATTGCACAACTTGCACCAGACCACCAGGGGGTGGCATTGTGCAAAGAGTTTATTGTCATTGCACGTGGTACAACGAAATTAAATGCCGTATTCAGTTTACATTATAAGTATAAAAATAAAAACACAAACACACATCCTTTACATTCTATATAATTGAAATTGAAAACCCGATATTGCACTATACTATAGAATTCAATATGGTTATTGCCCTGGGATAGAAGCTGTTTTTCAGTAGTTCAAAGGGACAGCCCTGGAGACTTTGAGCAAAAGCATCGTGTAAAACAATTACATGCCAAAATTCCAAGTGGCACTTTGCTCTCATTACAGGTAATCTTTGATTTAAGGACACAAGGGAACCCAAAATTTCTTGTTGCTAAGCGAGACACATTTGGTTAAGTTAATTTTTGGCCCCGTTCTACTTTTCTGGCTACATGAATCACGGCAGCAGATGTTTACATTAGTAACATGGTTGTTAAGTGAAGCAGCCTTCCCCATTGACTTGGCTTGTCAGAAAGTGGCAAAAGGGGATCAGGTGATCTCGTGACTGTGGGGATGCTGCAATGGTTGTTAAGTGTGAACACCGGTCATAAGTCACTTTTTTTCAGTGCTGTTGTAACTGAGCGGTCACTAAATGAACTGTTGTAAGTGGAGGACTACTTGTGTTCTGGAAGGGCTCCTGCGAGCGCCATGTTCTTCTGAACAGGTTGTAAGGGATACGTTGATTTGGGAAATCGTGGATAGTTGTTATCTGGCACCCTCTGGATAAGTTGGAGTATGATCATGAACATGTCCAGCATGGTAGAAGTTTAAATTTAAAGAATCCTCTGCACAATTAATTGAAGAGTTTCTGCTTCTGAAGTGGGGGCAGAGAAAGCTGTACTTGTGAATAGCAAATATCTATAGGGTCATACACATACAATAGCCATTATTTGGGACCAGTCTGCAGCACTGAGAAACTTGCATGTGATCATCTTGATCCGCCTTTGAGGCTTAACAATCAAAAATAGCTTCTTGATTCATGACTTAAGCATATAAACTTCCATGGTTTTAGAGCAGGGGATGATGGCCATTTTATGACTCGTGGGCTTCAACTCCCATAATTCTGGGAGTTGAAATCCAGAAGTCATAAAGGGGCCATTGGTCCCCACCCCTGACTTAGACTATGGTAGATAACGGTGAATTTTAGCACTTAACTCATCATGGGTTTTAATTGTGGCAGGTATCTCAGCCATGCAGGAGGAAGAGGAGGAATCGGAAGCAACCTCGGTATCTTCTGGAGACAGTAGCCCCGCGACCCCATCTGCCAATGGCTATCCAGGTAAGCGGATCTGTCAGATCATAGGAAGGAGTGTTACCTAACAAGAAACTTTGGCGCAGCAGTAGAAGAGATGTTCAGGTTTGATGTTGGGCACAGGCTCTGCTATTAATTTTATTGTGCTTGGGGCCGCACTTTGTAAAAAGGCAATCAAAATACTACTTTTGCAGATATGAAGAGTATTATTTCCAGCACCACTGAATACCTGTAGTTCTTGTCTCTTCTTAATTTAAGGTTTTTTTCCTGCAGGTTGCTCTCCTCACATTCCTTTACGATTCCAAAAAGTTACATAAAACATGACCTCTTGATTTAGTAAATTATCCATGGGTCTGGCAAAAGAAAGTCCCAAAAAGGTGCTTTTCCAAAAGCCGAACAAAACTGAAGAAGCTTCTTGGAATGAGAAGCAAAATGGTTTCAAGGAAAAAAAAAAAATCAAAGTCCAGCTGCCTTTTGCAAAAGCACCTTCGAGACAACCCACAGGTGAAATCCAGCAGGTTCTGACAGGTTCTGGAGAACCGGTAGCGGAAATTTTGAGCAGTTCGGAAGAACGGCAAATGCCACCTCTGACTGGCCCCAGAGTGGGGAGGGAATGGGGATTTTGCAGTATCCTTCCCCTGGAGTGGGGTGGGAATGGAGATTTTGCAGTATCCTTCCCCTGCCACACCCACCAAGCCACGCCCACAGAACCGGTAGTAAAAAAAATTTGGATTTCATCACCGGGACAACCATGAGATGGATGACTGAGAATCTCCATAGACCATAGGTATCAAACTCGCGGCGTCACATTGCCATCATGTGACATATCGTGGAGCTGGGGTGGATTGGTCTGTGTGTGACACATCTGGCCCACGGGCTGCTGGTTTGACACCCCTGCCATAGACAAATGTTCCCCTCCCCTATGTTAGAACTGTGAGTTGTAGAGTGGCAGACAAGCCAAGGATGCTTTATACTTGCATACTTCACTGTGTTTTCTCTCTTTTTGTTTTCCTAGGTCCCCAGAGCAAAGAACCCAAACTGGCCACTGGAGGGGAACAGGCGGATGATGTTGGAGACGGAGGGCAGGATCGCCTCAGCTCTTCCCAGGCTCCTAGCCCCGAATGGCACGAATGCCCTGAATGTGGGCGTGGCTTCGGCACATCTCGGGCCCTGAAGGTGCACCGTAGCTACCACGTGGGGCGCAAAAGGCCACACAGTGGTTCCTCTTCAACCAAGCCACCTCCACCTCCACTGATCTTGCCGGGAAATCCTGACAGCCAGGAAGGGCGGACGGCCCCGACCTCCGGCCGGGGCAGAGCTTTTCACTACATCTGTGCCGAGTGTGGCGTGGGCTTTACCTCTCCTGCCACGCTGGAGGGCCATCGCTGCGAACACAGCTGGCGCAGAAGCCCTCCAGCCCCTCCTCGTAATAAGCTGGCTCCTTCTCCTGCTCCCAGAGAGGCTAACGGGGATCAGGACACAGATGGGGCTGACGGACCATATCACTGCACCGAGTGCCCAGGCGAATTCGGCTTGGTATCCGAACTTCACGAGCACTACATGCTCCATGCTCGCGGAGAGCTGTAGATCGGTCTTCAGCCCCTTTCCCCCCACCCCCCCACTCCACAGCCCGCTTCCATTTCCCTGTTGTCATAGGTGGCCCCCTGCTAAGGGATTCTGTCCTGCTGGGATACTCAAAAGCGAAACCTCCTTTATCTTTAGTTCCTTTAAACAACAACAAAAAAGAAGACACATTTCTATATACCTGAAATGAATTTAGCTTTGGAACAACGAAAGAGAGATGACCTTGGGAGCAATTGCTTTTGTATCCTGCCTCCCTGGCGGTGAGTGCAGTGACTTAAAAGCCCATCTGCAGGAAGTGAAGTTTTCCCTTGTTCCCTGCCCTTCAGTGATCTGGATCTGATGATCCCTAAAATATTCTAACCCTCACCCAGCCCCCCCCCAGCATCCCAAAAGGAGATCCTGTTCATGAACTTTTTCGAAAACAGTAGCACTAGCAGGATTGCCCTCTACAAGTCCGTTTCATTAACAAGAATCAGGATTGTCTTCGGCCAGACCCCATCCCAAATGGGGAGATGGGGGCCCCCGGGAGTTAGTAAGAGATGAATTGGAATCGCTTTGTCCTAAGTGTGCAGAGATCCTGCTTTCCCAGACAAGTTCCTTCTCAGTCAGGGTCCTGTTTTCATTGTCGTCAACGTTGGCACTTGGGCGGCCCATGCCAAAGTACAGAAGCTGTATTCTGTTTTGTGTGTGTGTGCGTGAGTGTGTGTGTGTGTGTTTGGCTTTTAAGGAAACGGCTCCTGGGAACGGCACCTGATCCGCCCTAACTCATGAATTCTAACAAATATCTCTTCACCGTGATTGGGAGAGAACGGTTTAATAAAAACGATTCTGTATGTCTGACCTTTTTATTGTGCCCCATCTCTGTGTTTGCAAATGGGGGAAATTGAGGGGTGCTGATTTGGTGCAGCTCTTGGCTGGTGGTCTCTCTTATAAGGAAGCCGGTTCTAGTTTGAAAGGCACCTATCTGCAAATGAAGCTGCCTGATCTTCTCTTGAGTTTAGCGATGCACAGTCATTCTTTACAAATTAAGTTCTCTTTTATGTCCTTATGAGAGTTTAGAATAAATAGATAAGATAGAATTCTTTATTGGCCAAGTGCGATTGGACACACAAGGAATTTGTCTTTGGTGCATAGGCTCTCAGTGTACAAAAAAAGAAAAGATACATTCGTCAAGAGTCATAAGGTACAACACTTAATGATAGTCATAGGGTACAAATAAGCAATCGAATCGTACTAGGAAACTATAAATTGTAAGGATACAGCAACAAGTTACAGTCATAAGTGGGGGGAGATGGGTGATAGGAATGACGAGAAGATTAATAGTAATGCAGACTTAGTGAATAGTTTTGACAGTGTTGAGGGAATTATTTGTTTAGCAGAGTGATGGCATTCAGGAAAAAAATTCGTGTCTAGTTGCTCTGGTGTGCGGTGCTCTAGGATAGCAAACATTCATTCTGCCATCACCAAAGTAGCAGTCCTTATGGTGGTTTGCCAGGAATATTACAGGTTGTCCTCAACTTACAGTGGTGTAGCAACCAGTTGAAGTTATAATAGACTTCCCCAGAGATACTTACGATCCTATTCCAAAGATCTATTGCAGTGTTTCTCAACGTTGGAAGCTTGAAGATGGGTGGACTTCAACTCCCAGAATCCCCCAGCCAGCGCTGCTGGCTGCGGGATTCTGGGAGTTGAAGTCCACCCATCTTCAAGCTACCAAGGTTGAGAAACACTGATCTATTGACCATTTCCCCCTAGGTCATGTGACCATATTTCTGGCCCTCTGCAACTGGCCTGCATTTATGGCTGGCTGTAGTGTTTGGTGGTCACATAACCACATTTGACAATGTTTTTCATGAAAACTGGCATTTGCCAGCCCATAGTAAACGATTTATTTTATGACTGCAGTGGTCACTTTTAAATCCTACCAGCTGCTTAATAATCACCATAAAATAGGTGATACAATGAGGTTAGTCATATGACCCAGATTGTTGGGGGCAATATGCTGATATTGTAAACTGTTCAGAAAGTGCTGTAAAACACTATGGGGTGGTATATAAATCTAGATGTAATTGCTATTTTTGCGCAGATATGCCAAAGCCAACCCCTAAATCTAGTTTCTATAGATCTGTATTAACCAAATCTCCCATAACTGCATAAATATGCATGTACAGCTACGTAAGCAGTTTTCTATTTTTTGTCTCTGGAAAGTTCCATTGCATTTAATGCAACACAATCCATGAAAGTAAGGTTATCCAGAAATATTATTTAACTGCTCAGTGAGAAAGTTGTTGCCTATTAAGGCTTCCACCGTTTCAAAAGGCAACAGCTATAGTAATCCCTCACCCTGCCTGGAGGAAAATTCAGTCGAAATGCATCACGAACAAACCTCTGCAACAATTCCATGCCAGTCCCATGTTTACAAATTAACTGGACTAGATCTCTCCTGCTTCAGATCTTCCAAAAAAAATCCTGCAATTCCTTCATCATCAGATGCTGATTCTTGAAACTATTTCTTCCTAATATGTGACCAGACTCAAATATTCCTGAAAGACAGGAAGATAACTGCAAAATTGCTGTTACTATTACTTCTTATTCGTGGCTGTACAGGAAAATTGCCTTGACAGATAAAATGACATAATTCCCACTGGAGAAAATTCTTTCCAACACGTGACATCATGACGTGCAATCAAAAACGCAGGAGAATTGATGGAAAACTGAACAGAAAGCTAGAGCGGACGGCGCCTGCGTCCCTCGTTTAAGGTTCATAAATGGCTGGGAATTAAATGGCTGGGAATCTTGCTAGGAGCATGCGCAGATACAACTAGCCAGTCTTTGAAGCCCAGCCGCATCCCACTCCTACAGATCTACGGGTGCCTTGTAGAACGCTTTCTGTGGCGCGCATGCGTCATTTCTCACGTGTGTTTTTGTGTATGTTTTTCTCTCTCCCCCTCCCCCTCTCCGCTTGAAGCTGTCTACGGTATTGCCTGAAATAAATTAACAATAATTTATGAGACCTGGCGCAGAGATTGGGTTCTTGGGAGGCTTCCACATTTCCCCTAATTTGTCTGTGTGAAAACAGAGGGCGGCAGTCCTTAGGCATATTACGGCCGAAATAAAACTATGAATTTCGTGCAGGCGTTTGGAATGGCTCGACCTACGGGAAGAGCGGTGGTGGTGGTGATGGGGTCCTTTCTGGGAGAAGGAAGGCCCCCTGACAGAGGCCTAATGTGGAGTGAAGCGGAGAGGGGAGGTGGCGGTGGGGTGGCAACCGAGGCTATCCGGAGGGGATGACCGTGGGAGTCAGCGGCAGGGGTTTGGGGCACGTTTCCTGGTTCGGAGGGCCGCAGCTGGAAAGGGGGTCCAGGTGGAAGGCTCCGGGGGCTGCTAGGGCATCGATGGGAAGGGTAGGCCGCAGTGGCAGAGGCAGGCGAGGCAAGGAACAGCAGCAGCTCCGGCCTGGCCTAGCTGTGGGGAGGCAGAGGGGCTCGTCTCGGGCTTGAGGCCTCCACCCCAGAGGAATCTCCAACCTTGGCCTCTTTAAGACTTGTGGACTTCAACTCCCAGAGTTCCTTTGCCAGCAACTGTCATCTCTGTCCCTCAGCGGCTCCTCAGCCTCAACTAAGCTCCCGTTTCATGCTGAATAAACTAAATTATCAATGTATCTTAAATAGAAAACTCTTTCGATATATATATATATAAAACTCCAAAAGCATTTTATTAAAATAAATTTGATTTAAAAAAAATCCGATTTAAATTTTTTTTAAAAATCCGATTTAAATTTTTTTAAAAAATCCGATTTAAATTAAAAAAAAAATCCGATTTAAATTAAATCCAATTTTTAATTTTTTTAAAAAAACCCAGTTTTTATCCACCCTGGTGGCTAATGGCTTTCATCCTGTGCTAGATCTTGGGTGAGAGCCTGCTGTACTAATCCTTACCATTCTTGCTTTTTGTTAGTTGGTCAAACTTTGCGGGCAAGGAGTTTCGAAATATCCTGTCTCGAACGGATTTCTGCCCACAGTATTTGCTTTGCTTATGAATGGAGCCATCTAGATAGTTGGCTGCTTCTTTCAATTAAGCTCTTTATCTCCTTAAGTGCTGGCATCTGCTGTGGGCTATTAAGAAAGACTTGCGGGGCGGCTTTCTGCCTCTAAAAACATGTTTTTCTTTGGAGAAATATAATCTGCCTTTTTAAAAATATTTCCCAAAATATTTCATTCTTCTGGGGGGGGGTGGGCTTCCCACAGTGGGAAAAACAACACATTTACCTTCTGGGTCTCATACGTTGACCTTGCTTGTTTTATTGACCCAAGAAGGTGTCGTAAAAATATCCCAATAAAGAGGAACACAGACAAACCACAAGCAATAAATCTTACTTTTAAGATTCAGAGGTTTATTTCATGAGCAATTTGGAAGATGAGTAGCCAACAGAAATGCAATTTCACAACAAAACGTACATTATTAAACCATTGCAATGGGGTCCAATGACACATAGCAGATCCTACAAGGACTGCTTTTGGGCAAAGGACACCATTCTCATTTCAAGCCACATTTCTTATACCTTTTTTACTGACATACGAATTCCATAGTTTTACTTCCTTGTTCTTTCTTACATTCTTACTGACTGTCACTCTCTGCAAATACCCGTGTACATTTGAAGCTCTCAGCCATTTGTTACTTTCAGTTCTGCATTTCCCACCTTTCATTCTTCCTGCTCTAAATATATCCGCACAAGTACCTACTTTGCAGAAAATGCAGCACACAAGTCAGCACATTAGAAATATGTTTGGTACATTTTGCAATTATGTTAGTTTAAAACTTTGGTTCAGTCCTAGATCTTAGTACCAGCTACTTTCCAATGGATATATTTCTCTTCTCACAAAGGACTTAGAATAACTTCATTGTCACTTTAAATGTACACTAATTGGCATACATTAAAATGAAATTTGCTTTAAAATGAGAAAAGCGTTCTTCAAAGTTGCTGCCAAACTTCTTGTAAGAGAAAGGTGTGAATCCAAAGGATCTTAAAAGGGGTAGGCTGTCCTTGGGCTGGAGCTGAATTATGCAGGGAGAAAAACTGGGAAATGTGGATATTTGGGGGCTAGAATTAGCACAGTTTCCTCTTATTGACCTGAAGGCAGAGGGAGATGAAGTCCAACATGCTTTTAGAAGTCACCGTTTGTGGTGTGGTGTGAACTGGATGGGCCTGGATGTTTTTGCTCACTGCTTGATTTCGTTGTTACAGGAAACGATGGCTGAATCTTCTGCAATTGGCAAGTTAACATTGCCTGAACCATTCCTTAAAAAGGTGTCAAACTGTAACAGCGGTGTGTCACCGTCCCAGAAGCATCTCTCAGCCTTTAAACCCGAACCTCTCTGGATAGATGGAAACCCTGCAATAATGCCGGCAGAGAGCAAGGACAAAGAATGGACTAGAAATACTGCCATTTGTGAGTGTTGAGTCTGGTCCTTGATTTCAGAGGATTTCTAGGGGGTTATAGTTACATTAAGAGAAGGGTGGCATGGAGATGGAGTTCTTGCCTCAAATCAGTAGGCTGTAGTTTGATCCTAGGTAGCAGCAGATATTTCTCTTTCTGGGCACAGAGAAAATATCTGCTGCGAACTCTGCATAGGCATCAGGCAGGGCATCCAGCCAGTAAATGCTTAGCTCCATTCAATCTCCCTACTCCACCCCGATGCAAAGGATTACAGGATCTTTAAAAGAAAAAGAAAGTTACATTAAGAGAAACGGTGTAGTGGTTAAGGCAGGGGTGTCAAACGGATGTCCCGCGGACCGGATGCGTCACATACAGGCCATCCCCACCCCAGCTCCGTGAAGGGAAAAAATGTCACATGATGTCAATGTGACACGGCGATTTTGACACCCGTAAGTTAAGGCATTAGGCTAGAAATCTGAAGACTATGACTTCTAATTTGACTTGGCCACAAAGCAAAGGCGACCTTGGGCCAGTCACTCTCTCAGCCCTAGAAAGCAAGCAATGGCAAAACATTTCTGAAATCTTGGCAAGAAAATTTCAGGGACTTCTCCAGGCAGTTGCCAGGTGTCAGCATTGATTTGAAGACACACAGACACTTTAGTTACAAGTTAAGCAAATCACCGCATTTGTTCAGTGAATTACATGGTTGTTAAGTGAAATCAGGCTTCCCCCGTTGATTTGCTTGTCAGAAGTTACCTGGGAAGGTCACAAATGTAGATCACATGACCCAGGGATCTTACAACCATTGTAAACATGCTGGTTGCCAAGTGCCTGATTTTTTTATGACGTGACAGTTGCGTAAGGATGATCGTAAGTCTCTGTTTTTCAGCGCCCCTTGTAATTTTTAATGCTAAACCAATGGCTGTAAATTGAGGACTTCCCTGTAGATTATTCAGTTGTTTCTTTGTTGTGTTGTCATACCGTCATACCATTGCTTGTCTTGCGATCTGTAGATTAGTTATCTGTACCTCAATAACCTTATACCCACTGCTGCCTCTCTTCCCTCTCCATTTCTAGATAGCCTGGGTACCAATCAGTGCTTTCACTGCCTGATTACCTTCCCTGACGAGAAATTCAAGGAACGGCATATGAAGCGAGAACATCCAGAGGACTTTGTTCAGGCCAATTTGCGGGATGCCCTGTTTCTCTGCTTCGTCTGTAACAAGGCTTTCAAGAGTTCCCAAGCGCTTATCGGCCACCAGCGAGGCCATGCCTCGCCCTCGCCCTCCGATTGCAGCGACTGCTTGCGCCCCCCCACCTTTGACTGTGCTGACTGCGGCTGCCGTTTTGATCAGCTGGCCAACTACCAGCATCACCGCCTAGGTCACATGGCCGGCCATAGCTTGCCTCATCAGTGCCCCGATTGCAGCAAAAGTTACCGGCAGCTTTCCATCCTGCGTCAGCACCAGGTTTTCCACCGGCCAACCCAGGTGGTGCTTCCCTCCCGACCCTATTCCTGCACAGAGTGTGGGGAGAGCTTCAGGCACGAGGCAGGCCTGCACGAGCATTACATCCAGCATGCTCGCGGGGAGCTCTAGCGCGGTAGCACTAGCCAATCCCTCTGCTTCCTGAACCTGGTTGGGGAATGGAAGGCCATGGGCATTGCTGTCTGGGATGGGGAGCCAGATTCCTTTTTGGGGGTGGAAATACAGGGCAAAATCTTTGTTCTTTGGAAGTGCTGCGGCTGCTTATGTTCCCCTTAGAACAGGGGTCAGCAACCTGCGACTCTGGAGCTGCATGCGGCTCTTTCACCCAACATACAAATGACCAAGAAAATAAAATATTTAGGGATTTGGCTTACTGCAAGATGTTCCTCAATTAAGGAGGACAATTACGATAAATTGCTACAACAAATCAAAAAAGACTTTGAAAATTGGAAAAACCTACAGATCTCGCTATCGGGGAGGATCGCCATGATTAAAGTGAATATTTGGCCAAAAATACTGTTTCTCTTCCAAGTTATACCAGTAAAATTAGAGAAAAACTTTTTTGAAGCTTTAAATAAAATAGTTACCAAATTTATATGGCAGGGAAAAAGACTGAGAATTAGACTTAAATTACTATAAGACACAAAAGATAAAGGAGGAGTAGCACTCCCAGAATGGGAAATATATTATCAAGCCTCTTACGTAACCTGGCTAAAAGAGTGGAGAGAGTTAAGGGATAAAAGAACACTAGCAATTGAGGGAAATGATCTACAAGCGGGATGGCATGCATTCTTTTGGGATGAAAAAGATAAAAATAGCTATTTTAGAAGATATATACTAAGGAATGCATTGCTACTAATTTGGTTAAAAATAAAAAAAACAGCATTAAACAAGCATTAAAACATCCAAATTTAACTGAATGGGATAAGATAATAAGATATAGAGATATACTAAAAGAACAAGGAAATTTGAAATCGAAACAGGAATTGGAACATGATCTTAATAGAGGAATTAATTGGTGGACATACATGCAAATTTAGTCTAAATATAAAGAAGATACAAAATTATATGAAGTACAAAATGAGCAACATGAATTGGATAAAATTATAGAAAGGGACAGGAGAAATTAATTAGTAGGATATACAAATTTTTACTGCGATATAAAATGGAAGAGGAAGTAGTTAAAGATACAATGATCAAATGGGCAAAAAAATGTTAATCATACAATAGAATTGGAGAGATGGGAAACAATGTGGCAAATAAATACAAAATTAACTATGTCTGTGGCATACAAGGAAAACCAGTTGAAGATGTTCTACCTTAGCAGCTCTTAAGGTGTGTGGGCTTCAGCTCGCAGAATTCCTCAGCCAGCCTATAAGTAGTCCTTGACTTAACAACAGTTGAACCCAAAATTTCTGTTGCTAAGCAAAACACTTGTTAAGTGAATTTTGCCACATTTTATGATCTTCCTTGCCATAGTTTGTGGCAAGAATCACAGCTGGGAAGGAAATCACTTGCAGGTGTTAAGTCAGTAAAAGGGTTAAGTGAATCTGGCTTCCACGTTGACTTTGTCAGAAGCTCACCAAAGGTGATCACATGACCCCAGGACAACCCCCCCCCTCCGCCTTACACCTCTTCAGGAAATCCATCAGCGCAAGTAACCTTGTATTATAAAATGAAGGGACCCCGGAACTCTGCATTCTCACAAAATTACATTCTCTAGCATCTTTTTGGTCATTTAAAGTGGCGTCTGTCTTGAGATAGTCCTTGTGATGCTGAAAATGGTAAAACGAACTTGAAATTGTTTTTGCAACGGTTTTGCAATCTTCTAGATCTTAAAATGTGCGAGATTGGCTCAGAATGAAGGAAACCCAAGCATTGTCAGTTTGACTCCCATGCAGGACTGTTTCTACTGGATGCTCTTTGGATGCTCGAGGTGGAGAATTTTAGGGAAAAAGATCTTTTTAAACTCTGAAGTTGCTGTGGGTTTTGCATCATGTAAATGACACATTCTGCAGGCAAATTGTGATTTATACACGGACTTCTGTATCTTTTGAGGTTATGATCCCTGGCACTTTATTTTTCCTTTGATATTTTATTGTATAATGGACTATTTTAAAAAAGTAGGAAGAAAATAAAACAAAAGAATAACTCCTTGTTGGAAGCTGGCTGGGAAGTTTGCAAACGGCAATCGTTGAGACTTGGGGTGCACAATTGTTGCCAATGTGAACTGGTTGCTAGTCCCCCAAATTGTCATCATGGGGACATTGCAATCATATGTACAAGCACTGGTTGTAAATCGCTTTTTCCAGCCCTGTCATAACTTCAAACAGTAGCTATGTGAACGATCGTAAGTCAATAGTTATACAGTAATAGTCTTGACTTCCCATCTAATAGAGGAGGAAGATAGGATAAGTTGCTATATTAATTTCTACCCCAAGTACTGGATGTACCATATTTTTCGGAGTATAAGATGTACCTTAGTTTTTGGGGAGGAAAATGGAGGGGGGGGGAATCTGCCTACCAGGTATTCATCTGGCTAGTCCAAGCACATTAATTCGCTCACTGGTTTTGAGGTTGGGGCTGGTTGGGGCTTTGCTTCTAAAGCACAGCTGAAAATCGGAGGGAGCAGCAATTAGAAAAGCAGGCAAAGCACGGAAGATCACTTTGCTCGCGTTGGGGCTGAAAAACAGCTTCAAAAGCACAGCTGATCCTCGGAGGGAGCTCCAGTGACTTAAAGCTGGCAAAGCGCGGAAGGGGTAAGAGAAGGCAGCAGCTGTTCCAGGTAGCCATTTTGGGCACCACGCGGGGTTACATTCAGAGTAGAAGACACCCAAATTTTCAGCCTCTTTTAGGAAGGAAAAAAGTGTGTCTTATACTCTGAAAAATACGGTAGTTGTCAATTACCAAATAGACAATTTTGTCATCCAAATGAGATTCTCCCCCAGCACCGGGTAGTCACAGAAACCACAATGCCCTTGCATCACTCTGAATACAATTTGCTTCAGGCAGGCTGGACAAATATTTGGTAAGGGAATTTGGACTTTGGATCCCGCACTGCCTGGCAAATCAAATTAAGATAAACAATAATAATAAAAAAAAAAAAAATTAGGCAAAGCCTGACTGAGGATGAAGATTTTGGAAACCCAGTGAGTTGCATACTATAAACAAGGATGATGTTCGAAACAAGATTGTACAACTATTTTAATTGGTCATGCAGCAAATTACAAACAGGCAACCGTTTTCAATTAACTTGTGGCATGGCTAAATGTACAGAGTGTAGAACTTTGCAGTTTGCATTGTGCAGGCAATCTACCCCTGACCAGTGTTTTTAATAACTCTGTAACTTGACCTACTTCCAGGATAAACAAATTTAAACAATGACTCTTACAATCGACAGAATTCGAATTCTCCTGGACAGAAAACAGCTCTCTTTTTAAGCATGTGTACATCTGGGGAATTCAAAGAGGTTTTAGGCACAGGATGCGCTTTCCTGAACAGGCCAAGCTGTGTGAAGCCTGTACTAGGATGAGATGCGTTTGCCCTTTTTCCCTCCCCACAGAAAAATAAACTAGCTTCCCACTATATAAGACCAGTATTGTAAGCCAGGATCCTAGCGAGTAAGCAAGCATTTGATTCCTCTGTAATAATAGGAATTGCTTCATACAAAGAACGTTGATTTCTCTGTAATAATAAGGAACTGCTTCGTGTAAAGAACGACTCACCAGTATCCTCTCAACCGTACCAAACTTTTAAGATGTGTGGACTTCCAACTCCCAGAATTCCCCAGCCAACCATGGTGGCTGGGGACTTCTGGGAACTGAAGTCCACACATCTTAAAAGCTGTCAAGGTTGAGAGACACTACAATGTGTGAATGAGCACTGCAAAGGGGTACAGGCTTAGTTAGCACTGACTTTCCATTTCTTTAAGTTTCTACAGCCAAATCTTGCTTAGGTCCTTCCAAAAAAACACCATCGTCACCACCACCATCACAGGACACTATGCCAAGCAATCTTTGCTCTCGCCTCATGGTGTCCTATCGCAGGGACGCTTCCGTGACTTTTCCTCTCCGCTGCTTTTAAAGTGGGGCAAAGAGGTTGTTGGCCCTTCCTCTCTCCCTCCACTTTCCCCAAATCAATCTATCCCACCACCTCTAGTCCTTCGAGAAGGCTGCCAGTAGCAGCCTCTCTGCATCCCCGGACAGTTCCACGACAGCTTGTTTCAGCAGGTTGTAAACCTTCTCCACCGAGATCGTGGCCTCCACTTCGCCTCCTCGGCCCCAGTAGGGCATGTAGCTCCATGCCCAGTTGCTCCACGAGGGAGACTTAACTATGAGGGTGAGCACCTCGGTGGGTTCCATTGCCTGGGCAAAACGACTTTGGATCTGTTCCTGAAGCCGGTCGGCTACTTTGCCAGTACACCGGGCCGTGTTCGCGACGGACGTTTCATTCAGACCAAGGTGGATGCAGAAGCTGGCGATGATGGCCAGGAGCTTCTCAACCACGGTCTCATTGAGATTGTCCACAGAGGAGAGGCCAACTTGCAAGGTCTTCCCCCACACGTCTTTCATCAACACTTTGCTCTTGAGCCTCACCAGCTGGGAGAAGACGGTCGGGATCGCTCTCCTCAATGCCTTCCTCTTCAACTCGGAAGCCTGTTTCTGGAGCTCTTCCCGAAGGAGAGGGAGGTCGTAGGCTTCAGCCATGAAGGAAGAGACCAAGAAGACCGGACAGTCAACGCCATCGTTCTTCAGAGCTTCTACGCAGTTCTTCCGGATCTGTTCCTGAAGTTTCTCCTTCAACATGGGTTGGTTTTCAGCTTGGGCCTCCACGTCTACGTCTATCTTGTTCCTCACAAAGAAAGACTGTTTCCCTTCCGAAGCAATAATTTTGGCCAGACAGCTGTGGATGTGCTTGTAGCGCTCCGAGGCCACCAGCAGGAAGGCGCTATAGCGGCTGAGGTCCAGGCGCTTCACATCACCCTCCATCAATCCCACTCCGGGCAAATCCCAAAGGAACATGTTAGGGACGGATGGGAATGGGTAGGCTGTGACTGTCCTGGTGGTCTCGGCCACTCCGGTCGGGGCCGCCCCTGTCTCTTCAGAGCCTACTCTTCTCAGCGCATTGATCAGGGAGGAGTTTCCCGAGCCTGTTTCCCCAATCACAGCTACATTCAGATGGATTTGCGTGGGTTTAGCCAGCATACCCTGGATTACCACTGGGACTTCAGCCAAGCTGTTGAATTTGCAAATTTCAAATAGCTCCTTGACTATCTTTTGACTCACTGCGTGGAAGTCCTTCAGATTTCCCTCATGGTGCCTAGGAAGAACCAAAAGCAGACATATACTTAAGCATAATACATTGTCTTCCTAAAGTCATTAGTTGCAGTTACTACACTGGGCATGTCCAATAATAATGTCCCTGCTATCAGAGGACTTTTCTCCCCTTTTGATGCTTGTCATTCTTTAATTTTAATTTTTTAAACCCTAATTTAATTCTAACATTATTTTAATACATTTTTATTGGTCATATTATACTGTACACCACCCAGAGCCCCTCTATGAGGGAGAGGGGTGGTTTAGAAATACGAAACATAAATAAATATAAATAATCTGGAAGATTTTGCAGGAATGTTTTAAATTGCCATATAGAGATAGACCTTGCTTATCAACAGTCTCAATCAGCAACAGTCTGAAGTTACAATGGTGGTGGAAAATAACTTTATGATCCATGCCTTTGCAGTGCTCCTTAGTCTTGTGATTGCTCTTAAAAGTAATACATTGTCCTATGCTTGACCTGTTGTTGTTTTTCCCCTTGCAGAGCAGGAAGATTGGAGGGAAAGGGATTATAAGAGACTAAGCAAATACAAAATGGTGAATATGATTGTGTAGCGTGCTTGTGGCTTCCAGTCCTGAGTATGCTTGGGGCTACTGGCAGCACTGCATTCCTTTAGATCAGGGGTGAAATCTACTTACCTTCCTTACCGGTTTGGAAGCGTGCGCACATCACATGTGCAGTAAAAAACACATTACTTCCTGGTTAAAACCAGGAAGTAATGACACCCAGATGGGGGGTGGAGCTTTGCTCCGCCATTGCTACCGGATTGCCGAACCACCGGCCAAGATCGCTACCGGATCAGATGATCCGGTCCGATCCGGGAGCATTTCACCCCTGCTTGAGATGTATATTTCTCAATTGTATGTCTGCCTAATCGCTTGTAATCCCTAATTATTCCATCACCAGGAGAAGCATTCCAAAGGGCCAGGGACCAGGGGAAAAAGAAAACATAACCACAGTCCCATAATTTCCCTCTTAGCAACCTTAATAGTTCACTTAATAACAGCTGCCAGTCCCAATTTTGGTTCCTAAGCAAGGATTGTAAAGAAAGTCAGCGTGTGAAAGTTTTATGCTAAATTATAGGAATTTTTTTCAACTTTCCTCGATAGTGTTCTGTTTTAGCATGTTTATAGAAAACAACTAAGAAAACAACATATAGAAAACAACTAAGGAAAAATGACATTAACTCGACAGGCTAATGTAAAAGGAGAGAATGGCATTGTACGGAGATGCAAGAGCTGGACAACCTCTTCTTTTCCAGTCCTGGCAGAAAAGTCAAAATGTTCTGATCTAAGTCAGACCCCTACTTTACCCCCCCTCCCCCTTTACCTTTTCAAGTTGAGCACTTCTCCTTCCAAAGTATCCTCGAACCAAGCAAAATCGTATCTCTCCGTCTGCAGCCCAGACACCAGGAAGATCTTCTTGGCCTCCAACCCATCCTTGGTCAAGATCTCGGATAATTCCTTCCGGATCTGGTTCATCTGCTCTGCAGGATTGTATCTGTATTGAAGGCGCCTTGCAGCTGTGTGCAAATCCAGGTCGATCTTGGTGCGAACCACGAAGAAAGCTTTCTTCTTCTGCTTGATCGCCTTAAGGACTTGTAGGTGAATGTCTCTGAAGCCCCCGGTTCCTACCACCATCACAAAGCAGCTGAACTGCTGTAGGTCACCCAGCTTCTTGAGATAGGCAGCCGGTTTCTCGGAGGCCTCAAAGCCGGGTAGATTGTGCAAGATGAGGTGAGGGAAGGTGGGATGAACGTGGGCCTCTGCAGAGAGCGTGGGCTGTTGAGCTTCCCGGAAGTAAGCATAAAGGTTTGTCACTGTCCGGGGCTTGCTCAGGAGAGCCTCAACCAGCATGGTCACCCCCGCACGGTGCTCTCCTAGGATCCCAACCTGGACCTTGAAGGAATTCAAAAAATCCAGCAGTTCCTGGATTTGAGAGGCAGCTGCGACGGAGTTCTGGGCCAGATATTGAGCCTTGCGTTTCCTCAACTGTGCTTCGTCTAAATAGGGAAAGCTGGCCATGGCTGAGCTGCAGGAAGAGAAGAGAGGAGGTGAGTGTTGGCCCCGGCAGGAACCTTCTGGTGAGAATCAAGGCTTCACACAACCACGGATTGCAGGTGTTTCTCAACTAATTGATGATGGGTGGACTCCAACTCCCAGAATTCCCTAGCCAGCATGGGGAATTCTGGGAGTTGAAGTCCACAAATCTTAAAAAGTTGCCAATGACACAACGATGCTCCGGCCACATCTCTGCTTTCCTACGACTGCCCTGCGCAGCAGGCCTTCCGGCATCACAAGTGTCACAAGCAGAGGAAAAAATCCATCCCTGCAACTTTTTAGAATTTCTGCCTGGTTCCCTGCTGGCTTTCAGGTTGGGAGATGAGACCTGGCAACACACTTCCATCAAAAGCCACTGGACAAGCTGGATTGGTGTGGGGTGCGGCAGAAAAATATTAATATTTTTTTAGTATTTTTAATATTCAGAGTTTAAATTTGTTTTAAATTGATTGGGTTTTAAACCTGTCTGGGCCAAACTATTTAAATTTGATTTTATCTCTGCTTTTTAAATTTTGTATGTATGTATTTTATTGTTGGCTGTTCACCACCCTGAGTCCTTCAGGAGTAGGGCGGTATATAAATCAAATAAAAGTAAAGTAAAGTAAAAAGAGGGACCCCCCCCAGTAGACGGAGCTTAAAAGAAGTTCTCCCTTGAGAGGGGTTCAAAGACCCTCCTGCTCCAGACCCTGCTTTAATGTAATGAAGCGGGCTCTGATAGATGACCACTGGATAACTTTCTATTCACTCTATTCTAATAAGCAATGCATCCGGTTGGAAAAAGTACAAACTCAGCCAAAATCCTTTTGGTTCCTCTAGGAGGCCTCTAAGTTGTCAGAAGAAAGGAACATTCTAATGACATACAGCTTAAAGGTTGGTTAGGTCAAGGGGATCCACATGAGTTAAAAGTTGTCTATCGTCAGAAGATGATTTGAGTCTATGCTTCAGCAATCTACAAAAAGAATTATAACTGTTTTGCAAAGAAACTCAGTAATTAAGAAATGTCAATTAAAAATGACAAATGTACATGACCATATGAACTGCTGAGTTAACAGAATCCTTTGTCTAGAAGGGTATAAAACCATTGTACCTAATTTCTGTCTTTGTTCAACGCTTCATGTACAGAGCTTTGAACCTATTGCGCAATATATAAATTTGTCTCTGATTAACCCAAAAGTTGTGTTTGTCTTATTAAATCCACAACAGCTTTGTCTTTTGTCCGGTAGCCCCCTCCCACTCCCCTCCTTCCTTCTTCCCTCCCCGTTCTGCCCGGGATCGCCAGGAATCGAAAGCTACCGCCTCCCGACCGCGCCTTATGGGGGGGGGGGGGGGGCTGCCATACCTCAGACGACCGTGAGGGGGCAGCAAAGAGATAAGGGAATAACGCCCATCCTTTGGGTCGCCCGCAGTTTTGCAGCTCACACCTGGCAGGTGGTCCGCGGGGGCTTAGCAAGACTTCTTGCCCGTTGTTGTAGTTGTTTTTTTTTTGGGGGGGGGGGGGTGCGGCCCTCCCCCCCCCCGCCTCTGCCTTTCCAGGTGAACCCCCCCTCCCTCCCTGCAGCCCCCCCATCTCACCCCCTTGCCCGGATTTGCAGGGCAGGAGCCGCTCACCTGTCCTCCCAAAGGGGATCCAGGCGCAGCTGGCGGAGAAGAGATCCTTGGCCAACAACAAGCCCACGCGTGGGCAGTCTTTCCCCTCGGACTGTGCAGTGGGGGGTGGCTTTCCTCCCCTCCCCACTTCTTCCGCGCCGGGGAGCCTCCGACGCGCTTCCCGAGCGAACCGTGCGCGCGATCCAGAAGCCGCTTTTTGCGGCTTCCCTTCCCTTTCAGTCCTCCCCCGCGTCCGCCCCCGGTTCTTGTGTGCTCGCACCGCGGCGCCGCAAAACCGCCCCTTGTGACGCGCCCGGGGAGGAGGAGGAGGAGGAGACCCGAGAAAGCAAAGACCCCACCAGCCCGGGAGACCCCAGAAAGGGAGGGTCGGCTCTCTTGCCCAGGGAATCCGGATTGCGCTGCGCTGCGCTGCGCTGGGCGCCCGACCTGCTCTCCGTCCTTCTTAAGGGGCGCCCGCCCTGCAGGTAGGTGGGGAGGAAGGGCGGTTGTTTGCAAACGGCCGGATGCAAAAGGGCTATTGGCCACTCCTTTCGTCCAACCTGGCTTGAGCCACCTAGGTTAAGCCTGGCTAGGTGGCTCCAGCCTGGCTAGGTGGCTCAGTGGCTAAGGCGCTGAGCTGGTCGATCCGAAAGGTCGGCAGTTCGGCGGTTCAAATCCCTAGCATAGGTCTCCTGCTCGAGCAAAGGGGTTGGACTAGATGACCTCTAAAGTCCCTTCCAACTCTGTTACTGTTATAACCCCAACCGGAGTTGTTGATCGTCTTTCCGCAAGGCAGGATGGCTGAGCCGGCAGAACCTGGACAGCTCCCTTTTCAGCGCTTGGCAGCCCCAGAAACAAACCTCCGTCTTTCCAGCTTCCCCCCCCACAACCCACGTTACAGAACAGGGTTTCTCTGACTTGGCAACTCTGAAGAGGACTTCAACTCCCAGAATTCCCCAGCGAAGCATGGAAGCCCGGAAGGAAAAAAATAAATAAAATCTGGTCTAGCTATTAAAACACCAGGCTAGAAACCAGGAAAGGGGGAATTCTAGTTTGATAGGAAAGCTGGGCCATTTATTTCGCCTACGGCGTATCATAGGTAGACTGGCACCATAAATGAACGTTTCAACTAGATCAGGGGTGGGCAAATGTGGCCCTTTTACAACCTGTGGACTTCAACTCCCAGAATTCCTGAGACAGGCAAGGTATCTGTCTCAGGAATTCTGGGAGTTGAAGTCCACAGGTGGTAAAAGGGCCACACTTGCCCACCCCTGAACTAGATGAGTGGAACCCAATAAATAATAAAATAAAATAATAAAATAAAATGCAAAAAAAAAAAAAGTAAAATAAAATAATAAAAAATAAAATAAAAATAATAGAAAGTAATAGAAAATAATAAAATAAAATATAAAATAGAAAGTAAAATAAACAATAAAATAAGATGAATATAAAATAAAATGAATAATAAAATAAAATATAAATAATAAAATAAATAGTAAAGTAAAATATAAAGTAAAATAAATAATAAAATAAAAGATAAAACAAATAATAAAATATAAAATAAAACATAATAAAATAAAATATAAAATAAATAATACTTTTTTTAAAAAAAATAACAAAAAATAAAATAACAAAAAATAAAAATAACAAAAATAAAATAACAAAAATAAAATGTGAAGGGTATGTAGCCAGTTCGCCCTCTTGTGGTGCACCCTGGATAATGCAGACAGTGTGAACTAAAGGAACTAGCAACTGTTGGCAGCCAGACTACTCCCGTAGACTTTCCTGGCTTTCAAAATAAATGGCAATGAAACCTTGGGCCAATCTCCAGGAGACGTGAATTCTAGTCTTACCACAGGCGTGAAAGCCGAGTGGGGGACTTTTGGCAAGTCATTCTGTCTCAGCAAAACCCAGTATGTAGAGGAGTTGTGGGGAAAACAGGAGGAGGAAGGGGTATCAGGTATGTTTGTCACCTTGATTTATTTGCAAAAACAGAAGAAACAAGATAAAATCTTTTCTAAAAACCCCTGATTTTTTTGTGGCCACGTCTTCCTTGCATCATGGCCTAATTTTGAAATGTTACATGATTTGTTGGTCTTGCTGAGCAATGAAAAACAGAAGAAGCTTCAACAACAACAACAACAACAAAGAACAATAAGCGCTTTGTTGTAAGGGAGGTGAAAATGTACCCATCCCAACTTTTATGGGCATGCAGTGAAAAATTAAAGAAATTATGATGATCCTTGTCATCCTCTTGGCCTGTGGCCAACTGTGTTCAATTCGATAATCGATATTTGCGACTGAGCGCTGCTTGAAATATTTATTAGCCAACTCTAGCTTAAAATCTCCCCCTCTGACCTTTTGTCTTTTTCTTTAAAGGTTTACAGCCTGCTCAGAAGAAAAGTTAATCTTTGTCAACACGTCCAAACATGTCCGTAAAGACCTCTCCAAATTCTACTCTGGGTTCCCCCGATTGCGGGGATGTTTCTATCATCTTCGTGGGGAAATCCGACGTCGGGAAATCGGCTCTTCTTAATGCCGTACGACAGATGACTGAAGATGATGTCGGATCAGCCCCTGTGGGGGCTCCGGTGAAATCTGAAAAGCCCATCATGTACCCTGACCCGACTTTTGATAATTTACTGCTGTGGGAGCGGTCGATGGAGGGCAAAGGCCACGCGGATCAATGGATGAGAGAGGCCGACCTGATTGTGTTGGTGACCGACGACAGGTTCGAGGATTCTCACGGCCGCCTTGTGTTGGAGGCGCGGCAAGCCGGCAAAAAGGTTTATTTTGCCCGGACCAAGGCTGATCTGGAACTTCACACTCTCAAGCGGTTGATGGGGCAGCGTTACGATCGGTCGGAAGTCCTGCAGGCCCTCCGGGGGGCGTGTACTGAATCCCTGGGGATCCTCCCTCTGGTGGATCCCTTTGTATACCTGATCTCTGCTTTTGAGCCTGGCGCCCTCGATTGCCCCCGGCTGCGGGAAGATTTGCTGAAGGACCTGCACCACTATGAAAGGTTGGTATGACAGCTTCGAAACGGAAAAGCGGAGTTGCTCTCGAACGAAGGCGAATAAAGGTAGCCCTCGACTTAACGACTACAGTTGAGCCACAATTGCTGTCGTTAAGTGAGTTTTTGCTTTCTTTGCCGCAGTTGAATCACTGCAGTTGATGAGTGACTTAACCCGGTGGTTAAGGGAATCTGGCTTCCCCATTGACTTTGCTTATCAGAAGGTCGCAAAAGCGGATCACATGACCCCCTTCCCCCCTGGGGACGCTGCAACGGTCATAAATATGAACCAGTTGCCCAGCATCTGAATTCTGAGCACGCGATCGTGGGGATGCTGCAAAGGTTGTCAGTTTGAAAAACGGACATAAGTCACTTTTTTCGGTGAGGTTGTAATTTTGAATGGTCTCTAAATGAATGGTTGTAAGTTGAGGACGACCTGTATATGTCTCCCAGGATAATGTTTCAGGATTCAATCTGAGTCGGTCACCAGGACCGGAGGTTTTCTCTTGTGAGCTTTTGGACTCATGCTGGAGCCCATCGTCAAGGAACTTGTGATGATCCGGGGCATGACACAAAGGCAACACACCCAGAGAACCGATATGAGTCCCTTTATTATCACCAACTGTGCCCCCAATGTCCCTTTCAACTCTCCGGCCTGGAGAGAGCTCTTCCACCAACCTGTAATAGTGGTTTACCTTTCTGGCATTGAACATAAACACGTGTTTTTAAATCCAGGTTCTCCATCCATGCCTTTTGACCATCCCTCTTATCTTTCCACACAGGGTGCAGAAGCCCACTCGCTTCGGCTTCGAAGAGCCCAGCGAAAAAGAGATTGCCGAGATCCAGGAAGCCTACGAACTTGGGGGTCTCTCCGAGGTGGTGACCCGAATCCAGTGCAGTTTGGAAAACATCTGGAATGCCCAGCTGGATATTGCGATCACAGGAGAATCGGGCGCCGGGAAATCCACCTTTGTTAACGTCCTGAGGGGCATGGGTGATGAAGAGGAAGGGGCGGCCGCAACGGGCGTGACAGAGACCACAATGAAGCCCACGCCATATCCTTATCCTGGGCACGCCAATGTCATCCTGTGGGATCTCCCCGGTATAGGAACGCCTAACTTCCAGGCTGATAAATACTTAGAAATGGTAGAGTTTTCCCGTTACGATTTCTTCATCATCCTGGCTTCCGAACGGTTTAAAGAAAACCACGTCCGTTTGGCCCAGGCCATTGTCCAACAGGGAAAGCAGTTCTACTTCGTACGCACCAAGATAGACAACGATTTGGAGGCCGAGCGGAGGAAGAAGAACCCACCCACGGAAGCCGAAGTTCTGGAGGTGATCAAAAAGGATTGCCAGAGCAAGCTTTCCAAAGCTGGGCTGAGCGATGCCAAGGTGTTCCTTCTCAGCAGTTTTTACCTCGACAAGTTTGACTTCCAGGCTTTTGAGGAAACTCTGGAGCAAGAACTGCCCACCTATAAGCAACAGGCTTTTCTCCTGTCTCTGCCCAACGTCTCCACGGTGATCATAGAGAAGAAGAAGAAGGTCCTTCAGCAGGAAATCTGGAAGGTGGCTTTGATTTCCAGCTTGGTAGCTGCTGTCCCTTTGCCGGGCCTGGCCTTCACCTGTGACGTATCCATTTTGCTCAAGAAGTTGTCCAGTTACCGGCAAGATTTCGGCCTCGATGCAGCATCTTTATCCCGTCTGGCTGAACGATCCGGGAAGTCCATGGAGGTCCTGAGAAAAGAAGTGCAGAGTTGTCTAGGCCGTAGCATCAACAAGGATTTGGTGATCAATTTGCTGGGAAAGGCCACCGGAACAGGCCTGATGGTGGCCAACCTTTTCCTCCATCGGTTCCCGATTTATGGCGCCCTGGCCTCTGGCGGTATCTCTTTTCATACCACCTATTCCATGTTGAGACAGTGCCTGGAAGAGCTGGCTGCGGACTCCCAACGCGTCCTTATGAAGGCCTGTGAAAGTCACGTCTGATGTGGCTTAAGACAGTTTACCCATCTGGTCCCCTCCAACTACAGGTCCCATCATTCTCAGCTGGTCCGGCTTTTGGCTGCAGTAGAAGGACTTCCCTTGTTCCCATGCCTGATCTTCCCTGGATGTCTTCTCTTGTCATGGAGGCTTCCTTCCTCTTAGCTTCTATCACTATAACAAGCTACTCAGCGCTGTGTGGCCTGAAAAATCTTGAGGACTAGGAACAAGCGTTTGCTTTGGCTTTGATGTTCTGGAGACAAGATTTAGACGAGCCACTTTGTCTAGAAAGATTCCATCGTCCTTACAGTTATTAATTATTTTAAATGTATTTGTTCCTCTCTTTTCTGGCATGGACATACTGAGTTTGAATGAAATTTAAGGTTTTTATGGCAAATTGCTGCCCTAGCCTTAGGATGATTAACCAGAAATGTGGAAGGAGGAGGGGAAAGGAGTGGAGTGATATCTAATCATATTTTCCAGAGTTAGATCCAAATGTAAGCCATAGAGCTGTCCAATGGGAAGGCTTAGTTGGAGCACAAGGTTGAATGTAAGATTCCCTTGTTGCTTTATTTATGGTGACACTCCCTTGGCTGGCCACTAGAGGGAGGTGCTGTGTGTTTATTGGAATTAAAAAAAAAACACAGGTCACATGGCTGGCTGAGGAATTCTGGGAATTGAAGTCCACACTTGAGGTTGCAAAACATTGATCTAGAATACAGGTTAAATTGCAATTGGTGTGTGTCTGTTGGAGGGGCGTGCATGCGTGCATCAAATATATATAAAATCACATGCTGTGCAACGGATCAAACAAGATCTTTCCCTCTCTGTTTCTTCCCATGCTGTAGAAACGTTTCCCAAATGCCATTAATAAAAAGATAGTAGAGAAATAACAATTATGTCTCAAATGATTCTTTGAAGTGCCATCCCGTGTGGACATCCCTGGAACAGTTTAGTCGTGTCTCCTAGATCAGGGGTCTCCCACCTTGGCAACTTTAAGACTTGTGGACTTCAACTCCCAGAGTCACCCGGAGAACTCCACAAGTCTTTTAATTAATTAATTAATTAATTAATAGAATAACAAAGGGACCTTGGAGATCTTCTAGTCCAGCTCTCTGCTCAAGCAAGAAAATACCATTTCAGACAAATGGTTGTCCAATGTCTTCTTAAAAACCTCCAATATTGGATCACCCACAACTTCTGGAGGCAAGTAGTTCCACTTGATTGTTCTGTCAGGAAATTTCTCCTTAGCTCTAGGCTGGTCTCTCCTTGATTAATTTCCATCCATTGCTTCTTGTCCTGCCTTCAGGGGCTTTGGAGAATAGATTGATACTTCAATCAAAACATTTCCTCCTCTGCATAGAAAACAAATATGATCTCCTCAGAATGAAAGTTTATCATTACACAGGAAATATTGTATATCTTTGGGCCTAGAAAGAAAGTCTTGAGAAAGTTAATTTTTTTTCCATTTTGCTCCTCGCACAAACATTTTCCTTGGATGGCTAGGTGGCTCAGTGGCTAAGACACTGAGCTTGTCGATCAGAAAGGTCCGCAGTTTGGCGGTTCGAATCCCTACTGTAGGTCTGCGTGAGCAGGGGGTTGGACTAGATGACCTACAATACTCTCCAATCATAGCATGACTCAAAGCAAGCTATAGTTAGAGTTCATTGCGGTCTGAACTTATGGAAGTTGTTTGGACTGGAACCTGGGACTTGTTATGACATCCTAATTCATAAAATTCTTCAGTTTGGTGGTGTTATGGATTGAACTTCTATCACTTGACATTTCGAGATGGAATTTTGACCAGCCCTAAAGGTTTTGGCATCTGGTGGGATTGGAGAAGACTCCTAGGGAGACATTCTGGTTGGATTCACACAACCTATTTAACCTTACACTCCAGAGAAGAAAGTGTACTTGTATTCACCTAATATGCTGTGGTCAAGCAAAACCATAGGATGGTTTTATGTAATACCTGGTTTATTTATTTACAACTATTTGAACTGTATGCCTCTTACTCACTAGACTAGACTAAGTCACTCTAGGTTCACTAAATGACACCAGACTGGTGCTGAAGACAGCACGTAGCTTCTTGGGCCCAGCTGAATCACAAATGACTCAACATCAACCGTTTTAACTCAGTTGAGTTATGTTGTCTGAACCTCAACTTCCTTGTGTTAAAGTTTCAAATATCTAGTTAAAAGTTAGGTTTCCAGAGAAGGTGCTGTCAAGCTAAACTTGACTGATTTATGCTTTAAAAGCCTTCTAGGAGTTATTCTGGAGAAGATCTGAACCTTAACAGAGCAGTCGAAGGGGCCAACACTGATAGACATTTACAAGATTTCTTGCTTGCTTGTTGGCCAAGCGGTTGAGCGTGTTGCAATTTAACCGCCTGGTGTCTGAAAATACTGTGTCCTGTGGTCTAACTGAACCTAAAGGTTGACTCAGCTTTGCATCCTCCTGAGGTTGGTAAAATGAGGATCCAGACTGTTGGGGTGACGGGTCCCTTATATTAAGTTGCAATCTGTCATTATTCAATTATTCCATGTTTTCTCTTATTATTACTTTTATTTTATTATATAAAAGTATATACACTAATATTCCCCTTTTTCTTGCTTCAATCACTTATTCTAACTTTTAATCATGTCGCCCTTTATTAAAAATGTTCTCCTACCTAACTTCTGGTCATGTCACCTACCTAAAAAAAGAAAAGAAAGAGAGAGAAGAGGAAAGACAAATCAGAACAACAACAAAAAAGAGAAATCATCTATCCATCGTGTCTTGCCTGCTTCAATACTTTAATTGCTATGCTTTTTTTGACTTGCCTTGAGAGAGCTCTTTTGAAAGGGTATTTAAAAATATAGGAACAAATTAGCATGGCATTGAATTTGGATTATTCATTGAACGCTGGAGAAGCAGGAAACCCCACCCCTCTGCTTATCCCTTCAAAGGAGGGGCAATCCAACCGTCCTCCTTGGCTTGGCCATATTTCAGTAGGGATACGTTCCAGGAGATCCCTTTGTCTCATCAAGATCATCAGTTGCTGGTAAGTTAATACGAACGGGCGCCTTGCCAAATCATTTTCTCTAGCTTCTTCTTTTGAGCAACCTGAAATGCTTTGCTCAGGTTTTAAGCCTTTGAATGTCTTTTCTTAGAGGTTGTTTGGATGTACTTGATCCTGGCTTTTTTATAAGGAATGGGTAGATGGGGATGAAGGAGGTTAGGGGTGGTTTGTCTCGAGCAGAAAAGTAATGAGGTCAGTTTTGAAACTCTTAACTTCTTTCTCCTCGGTCTTCATGGACAATTAATTTGCTATGGATCAGGGGTCTCCAAACCTGGTAACTTTAAGACTGGTGGACTTCAACTCCCAGAATTCCCTAGCCAGCTGGCTGGGGAATTCTGGGAGTTGAAGTCCACCAGTCTTAAAGTTTGGAGACTTTTGCTATAGAGTCTACTGTCAAGGTCCTGGGGCAGAATACGGCCCCATCCAGTAGATACTTATTCCCGAAACCGATTGTGGACAAATTCCTTGTCTCTGAAGCACATTATAATTTGCTGCATTTCCCTCTTCTCTGATAGAGTGGCTGTGATGGATAAAGGATCCATTACAATCTTCATTTTTTGTCTTGGGATGGGTAAGTGAAAATTATTTCTCCCTGTTCTTTATTTTAAACTAAAGTTGTCTGGATGGTTTATTAAATAAAGGTGAAGATAAAATCTTCATGTTGATTTCCGACAAAACTGAAGAAGCTTCTTGGATGAGAAGCAAAAGGTTTTCAAAGAAAAGCAAAGTCCAGTTGCCCTTTGAAAAAGCATCTTTGGAACAACCATAGCTGAGAATCTCCATAGATATTCCATTTAGGAAGGTTGCTGCAACCAACCAGACCTTAAACATTCAGTGAGATTCCCCATATATACAAAGCAGCATCTTCTGTATCAAGCTCAATATAAGAACACAGGAAACAAAATTCATATTAGTCCAACTCTCTGCTGGTTTATGGATGATTGTAATCAGACGTGGTATTCAGCCGGTTCGGATCGATTCAGCTGGTTCAGACTGATTCAGCTGGTTCGGACCGGTTCACCTGAACTGGTAGCGGAAATCCTCCCCCGCCCACCTGCCCCGGCTCTATGCCATCTTATTTAGGCACGTTTTTGCGGCTGTGCGCTTGCATAGGAAGGCGCATACGCCAGCAAAGCACATGTACAGAAGGTACACGTACAGAAGGTCAGGTACATGTATGGACACGGTCTCACTCACATTTGCGAACCGGTAGGGAAAGTAAGTGAGTATCACCTCTGATTGTAATGCACAAACCAGGAAAAAAAAAAGATTATTTCAATGGTTAGCTGAACTTTATTTGGGTTTGAAAGCAAAATATCAGTCATATTACAATAGGGTAAAATTGAGAACAAGGAAAAAAAAGAGGCGATTAGCAAATTATTGACTGTTTCCTAATATGATTTGATTGCTTATTTGTACCCTATGTCTATCATTCAGTGTTGTACCTTACGATTCTTGATGAATATCTTTCTTTTCTTTTATGTACACTAAGAGCGTATGCACCAAAGACAAATTCCTTGTGTGTCCAATCACACTTGGCCAATAAAAAATTCAATTCAATTCTATTAGAATTGGAATGTTTTAAAATGAAATTTTCATTGAGGACAAAGCATAGAGCAGATCTAAGACATTATGTATTAATGCAATCAGGGGAACTGGTGAAGAATATTAAAAAGGAAACACAAATCAGCTTGGGGAAACTGAATTAATGGCCAGATAATTAATGGTCTCCTAGCAATAACGATACTTCTTGTCATTTCAGTCAACCACAAGCCTAGGAGGTATTCCGATCAGTTGGTTTAACTCACTTCCCCAGGGAAATTATTGTGTGAACCAAACCAAACCCCTTTCTCCTCAGAGGATGAGAAAATAATGTCCTAAAACAGTGTTTCTCAAGCTGTGGCAAGTTTAAGAAGTATGGACTTCCAACTCCCAGAATTCTTTGCACTGGCTGGGGAATTCTGGGAGTTGCAGTCCATACTTCTTAAACTTGCCAAGGTTGAGAAATACTGTCCTAAAACATTTCGTAGATATATCTGGATAGATTTCCCGAGAAAACCTGCATGACAGCGTGATCAGCTTATTTATTTATATTTACAGTAGTGGCCAAATTGTGAAAACCTTTTGGGAAAAGTGTATTTTTGAGGTTTGATGGCTAATAACACCACTTTTTTTTGGAGTTTCAAGATACTCCTATTCCACTCCTGGAATGGCCTGGGAATAAACCAGACCTTCACCCAATTGAAAATCGATGGAGCCGACTAAAGAAACTGGTTAGTCAGAAGCGACTCAGCAATAAAACCCAGTTAATAGAAGCAATCATTCAATCTTGGTTTCACATTAGAACAGCTGCAGAACTCAAAGACTTGGTTCACTCCATGGGAAGATGTTGTAAGGCCGTAATTCATGCTAAAGGTTACCCAATGAAGTATTAACTGGCATGGGGATCATTTTTGTATATCTCATTTTTTCTACTGTTTCCCTTTTCTTCTTTATACTGTCACTGCTATTCTAATAGCAAATCCTTCATAAAAGTTATTGCATTCCATTCTTGATTAAATTATCTTTCCATTGATATATAATTTTATGGTACCACTCCAAAAAAAGAAAGTGTTGTTATTAGCTAGTTTTAGAAAATACACTTTTCCCAAAAGGCTTCCACAATTTTGGCCACTACTTTAGGTGTATATAAAATTGATTTGCTTCCCGCCTCTTAACCAACGAACCTGAGAGGCTAAATGCACCACTTAGCAACACATCCTACGAAAGTTATCACCGCTTTAAGAGGGCTGTTGCATTCTTCTAAATTGGTGCGGTAGGAAAGTATGGGAAACTGTCATTCCTAAAATTCTGAGTTTGGAAAGACCGGATAACGCAAGGCAGATAATGAAGCACCGAGGCAAGAATTCTTGCAAGTCCAGTCCCGCCGTATCTGGAGAACGTCACTTTGGAAAGATTGTGAAATTTCATTGTTTGGTGGAATGTTGATTCTTCTTCTTCAGCCAATAGCTTGGAGTGCCATAAGTGCTTAATTAACGAAGGGAACTGTTCTAAGGCTCCAGTGGAAGTTTGCAGACCTAACCAAAACGCCTGCTTCACAGTGATCAAGAAGTACCATGGATGTAAGTCTTCTTCTTCAAAGGGTGGTGTCTGTGTGTGGGGGGAACTCTTGAGTCGGTTTGTGACTCCTGGGATCTTCCTGAGGAGATTTCAGATCTTCCTCCTAGGTTGAGAGAGAATGACTAGTTTAGACTAGTCATCCAGCTGGCTTCACGAACAGGCTTGATCTGGTTGGTTTCCAGATCTCAATCAATCAAAACTCAATCAATCAAAACAGAGCTGGAAGGGATCTTAGAGGTCTTCGAGTCCAGCTGTCTGCTCAAGCAGGAGACCCTATCCAGTGTTGGCGAAACTTTTCAGCTCTGAGTGCCAAAACAAGAGCACGCACATGCGGGCAAGCCCCGGAAACCGCAAGAGCAGCTCCCCGGTGTGAATGTGCGCGCCGGGAAGCTGAGCTTCCGGTTTCTGGTGTGTGCATGCACACCGGTCACATGATCTTCCAGTTTCTGGCACACATATGTGCACGAAGGCCAGCTGGTCAACTAAGGAGAGATTTCTTGTGGACAGTTACAACAATTAATCTGTGGAACAATTTGCCTCCAGAAGTTGTGACTGCTCCAACACCCTGCCTAAGCAGTGGGTTGGACTAGAAGACCTCCAAGGTCCCTTCCAATTCTTCTATTCTATTCTATTCTATTCTATTCTATTCTATTCTATTCTATTCTATTCTATTCTATTCTATTCTATTCTATTCTATTCTATTATTTCACTCCACTCCATTTCACTCCATTCCATTATTCTATTCTATTCCATTCCATTCCATTCCATTCCATTCCATTCCATTCCATTCCATTCCATTCCATTCCATTCCACTCCACTCCACTCCACTCCACCTATACGACCCAGTAAATCACATAGTAGATTGCAACCAACTGCACAAGATGATTGTGCAACTCCAAATAGACTCTTCAGAAAATACTTCCATCCGATGGTAAGTAACCTCATGATTTATTATTTTCCTTGCAGTGGGTGCAGATACAGCAAAACAGGGCTGTGGATCCTCAAACGATTGCCGTAGGTACCCCATGGGCACGAAGGGCTCCTTGTTCCGAACCATGTGGTGTTGTTCTTCAGATCTTTGCCAACCCATCCATTTGCCTGGTACGTCAAAGGGGGAAAGCCACAGAAGCGTGTCTGGAACCCAGAACGCAATACTTCCTGTGTCAGCCCTGAAGCCATTTTGGGAGCATCTTCAGGGCTGCCACAGCGAGGCCGGTTGGCACTGTGGGAACGTGAGGGGGGAGGTAGAGATAGTTGGGGGTGACGTGTAGCCAAAATAACACTCTTCCCCACGGGAGCCAAGGATGTCCTCACCAGGTGTTTGAAAGCCGTGGACTAAAGTCAGCCGAATTGGGGACTGTGACCTGATTGGACCAAGTGATGGACATGTGACCTGGGGGGGGGGGCAAGAACTTTGGGTTTTGATTTGGGTAGGGAAAACCTCAGGTCCTTCAGAGTTGGGTTTTCCCCAGCTGTGCCAATATGGTATTCCTAATAAACTCTTACTTTGAGGAAATGTTGGGTCAACTTCAGAGTTTTGATTGTGTTGGATCTGTTACTTGGAACCCTGACATCTAGGCGGGTTGTGGGTTTGTGACTTTATAGCACAATGATTTGGGGACCACGAGACCTACAACAGAACATGTCAACTTTGGTGGCAGTGAAATAACACAAATTCAGTCCAAGATGCTGTAGGTCAGGGGTTACCTGACCTCTGAGCCGTGGCCGGTGGTGGGATTCAGCTGGCTTGGGCCGGTTCAGGCGAACTGGTAGTTAAATTGCTGGCTGGCCCCTTCCCTTCCGACCCCGCCCCTTCCAGGAGTCCCCATGCGCCCATTTTGGCTCCGAGGTAAGAACAGGTAGGCCTCCTAGGCCCAAAACAGGGTTTTTTTTTGCGTAGGTTCTAGTACATTTGCCCGTATTTTGGGGGGTGTTTGGATTGCTTCCAATGATGGAATTGGATGAGTGAATTGAGCAAATTCTCTCCTTGCCTGTCATTTCAAACAGTCAACCAAGATGGATCGCAAAATGGGCTTGTGTGCCAAAGTTGCATTGGGGGCCCAGCCGAATGCAGCCTGACGGCCCCTTCGCGGCAATGCTCTGGGAGTGCAGATCGGTGCGTGCAAATCTCCCAGCGTTTCTTTCCAGGTACAAGTGGGTGTCAATTTGAGATAACGTGGCAGGGCACACCACCTTCTCTCTTCCAGTTGGTGGACGGGGGATGGGGTGGTGGTGTTATTCGTGGTTTCTGTTTGTTGCTTAGAATTTTCTACCATCATGAAAAATAGCTACTTTCCTACTGAAGAAAGAAAAGAAGAGAATTAAAAGAAACCTCTCCCCTTAAGGCAGGGGTGTCAAACTCAATTTCATTGAGGATCGCATCAGGGTTGTATTTGACCTTGGTGGGGAGGCGTGGGGGCGTGGCCAGGCTGGGTGTGGCCAGCTCAATGTCACTCGTGTCAGGGGCCTCTGTGAGTGCTCTGCCAGCGAAAACAGGCTCCCGAGCTCCGTTTCCGGCTGCGACGGCCTCCTGCAACCCTCTGCCAGCAAAAACGGAGCTCAGGAGGGCTGCATGCAGCCCTCGTGAGCTCCGTTTTCAGCTGCAACAGCCTCCTGCAATCCGTTGCCAGCAAAAACGAAGCACGGCCCTCCGGAGCTCTGTTTTCACTGGCAGAGGCACCCTGGTCCGATCCATCACTGTTTCCAGGGTGGCCCCACAGGCCAGATCTAAGCACCCCATGGGCCCGTGGGCCTTGAGTTTGCCTTAAAGTGCAACAGTTTGTTACATAAATGTAGCTCATAAGCAGTTCAATCCCTTAGCCGCACTGAAAAAAAAGTAGCACAAATTTAGCAGGAAGCTTTTAATTAAAAGTACAAGAACTCAAAAGTTTTATTTTATTTAACTGGCCAACCTGTGAATTTACTTCTGAACCTGTGTGTGTGTGTGTGTGTGTGTGTGTGTGTAAGTAAAATCACAAGGTGGCCAGTTAAATATATATAAAGAAGAATATATGGAATCATTTTTAGTAGAATGCTTATGGAAATCTTCCCAAATTAAAGAAGACTTCTTGCATCATAGAACTCTGGGAACTATTAGGGAGGTGCCCGCTTCACCCGCTTTTTCCTCACACAAACTGTCTTCTCTTGCTCCTCTGGAATGCAGCCCCTCCCTCCTGGGAATCCAGACTACATTCCATCCCATTCTGTCACACCGTAAGAGAGAATGATTGAGGGAATTAGGTATGTCTTGTCTAATGAAAAGAAGGACTACAGGGTGACATGATAATAGTCTTGTAGTACTTGAGGGGCTGTCATAGAGAAGAGGGGGTCGACATAGTCTCCAAAGCATCAAAGGGTCAGGAGAAGAAGTAATGGATGGAAGTTTATCAAAGAGAGATCCAACCTAGAAATGAGGAGAAATTTCCGGACAGTGAGAACAATTAATCAGTGGAATGGATTATCTCCAGAAGTTGTGAATGCTCCATCACTGGAAGTTTTCAAGAAGAAACTGGACAACCATCTCTCCAGAATGGTATAGGGGAGGGGTGAAATGCTCTGAAATCTGCTACTGCTTCGCTTCGCGCATGCGCCAAACACACACTTCATGTGCATGCGCACTGCAGACGTTAGCACGCACCGCTGAAAAAAGAGGATTAAGAAGCCTTTTCTGAGTCTTCAAAGATTAGTAGAACAGCAGGGGGGGGGAAACAGCTGTGCCGCGCGATTTAGATTAGCTAGAAAGCAGGATTTCCTGCTTTCTAGTGAATATAAATCATCCGGAACAGCTGATCGTCGCACAGTTGATTGTCGGAAATACCAGTTCGCCTGAACTGGTAGCAATTTCTTACTACTGATTTGGGCGAACCGGTCCTAACTGGTAGCATTTCACCCCTAGTATAGGGTCACCTGTCTGAGTAGGGGGGTTGAACTAGAAGACTTATATTAAGATCCCTTCCAACCCCCTTATTCTATCTTCTACAAGTATTGCTAAAGCACTTTGAGTAGACTATGATAAATTGTAATCCTGGTGCATAAGAATCATTGGATGATTGTCCTCTTCAGGAGAAGAACTAGAGCCCATCATAAAGGGATGTGGAAATAGCTCCTTCAAAGATCTGCAGGTGCTCTACCAAATTGGAAAGGACTTTGCTTTCCTTGACCAAAAAGTCTGTGGCCAATCCAACTGCAATAATAGAAGTTTTCCAGGTAAGTCCATCAAAGTCATTGTCCTTTTTTTCATCTTATTCTGTCATATTGTCAAGTGCCCTGAATCTTTTGAACTGGAGCGATATAGAAATAGAGGCATGAATAAATGTAAATATAAATAGCTACCCCTCCCTATCCAGTCCACCACGAGATGGCAGTAAAAAGGTATGGAAATGTAATGAATTAATAATTTACTCCAGTGTTTCTCAACCGTGGACTTCAACTCCCAGAATTCCATGCTGGCTAGGGAATTCTGGGAGTTGAAGTCCACCCATCTTCAAATGGCCCAGGTTGAGAAACACAGATTTAATTCTACTCTGCCTGGAATCGTTACTAAAGTCAGATGGAGGAGTAACGATTGTGCAATCTCAGCAATGAACAATTTATTTACAGATAATATCTTTTTGGAAAATGTGCCTTTGTTTTAAATTATCGTAAAACAAGCAGAGAGTGTTGCTGAGAGGGAAGAGGGAAACGAGTATGTCTGTTTATATATCTGTATATGCTGTGTCATTGTTAAATAATGTTTTTTTTTTAATGGAAAAGAAATAAAAATAGAGGCAGGAAGACAGTTCAAGACTACATAGTTTAAGGAAATGCCAGTTTTTGGCAAAAGATCTTGTAAATCACCATGGGTTGACCCAAAATATGGGTGGTATCCAAAATACAGTCACATGACCACAGGAATGTGACCTGGCCCATGGAAACAATTACAGTGAGAACAATTAATCAGTGGAATGATTAATTTGTGGATGCTCTAACAAGTGTTTTAAAGAAGAGATTGGACAACCATTTGTCTGAAGTGGTATAGTGTTTCCTGCTTCATCAGGGGGTTGGACTAGAAGACCTCCAAGGTCCCTTCCAATTCTCTTATTCTGAAACTCGAGAACCGTGTTATAAGTACCTTTTGGGGGGGGTTGTCAAAACTTTGAATGGTTGCTAATCAGCTGTAAGTCGAGAACTCCCTGTACTGAAAAGCAGCAACTGCATCGTTTTTTAGAACATTTTCCTAGAAAGCAAATTCATGGTTTTGGTTTTGCTTCATTTTAATTGGCTGTAGGCGATCTTTTGTGGCACCGTTATGTGTTTGCGTTTGTATATTCGTGCCTTTTAGTTTATCAATCCACCTAAAGTTATTTGAAAAGAAAATGTGGGAATGGATGAACGAAGACAATAAAGATCAGCTTTTGTACTAGGATCGGGTTATAAGCTAACCACAAGTAAAATCTCTACAAATGGTTTAACTATCTTAACTTTCTCACTTCTTCCATTTCATCTGCTTTCCTTCAGGCTTCCTGGTTTAGAATAGAATAGAACTCCAAAGGACCTATATTAAATAACCTATATTATTTGAGATAAGTGACTGTCTAGTTTCTTCTTGAAAACCTCCAGTGATGGAGCACCCACAATTTCTGGAGGCCAGCTGTTCCACTGGTTAATTATCCTCACTATTAGGAAGTTTGCTTCTCTCCTTGATTAGTTTCCATCCGTTGTTTCTTGTCCTGCCCTCTGGTGCTTTGGAGAATAATTTGACCCCTTCTTCTTTGAGGTATTGCTATCATCGTTACCCCTAATTCTTCTTTTCTCTAGACTAGCCAAACCCAAATCCTGCAGCTGTTCTTCCTATGTTTTAGTCTCCAGGCCTTTGATCATCTTAGTTGCTCTTCTCCAAACTTTTTCCCAAAGTCTCAACATCTTTTTTGTAGTACGGGGACCAAAATTGGTTGCAGTATTCCAGTTTCCACTTGTCATTGGTAGAAACCATGATCAACTCCTTTATTATTTTTTTCCCTACCTACAGAGATCCTTACGGGACAGCCCAATGGGTTACAGTGCTATAGTTATAGTGGTTCAGGCCGTGAAGAGAGCAACCTCCAGAAACGGCAGATTTTGAGGTGCACCGGAGCCATGAACCGGTGTGTCCGTATCATAAAAGGAGGTAAGGAGGAAGACTTACAAGATTGAGCCGATACAAAAGACAGAGAAAGAGAGGGGGAAAAAAATACATCTCCATACAGGTCACCCTCAACTTATGACCATTTGTTTAGTGATTGTTTTACATTATAGCAGCACTGAAAAGGTGATTTATGACCAGTCCTCACACTTATGACTGTTGCAGGATCTCCATGATTAAAATATGGGTGCTTGGTAACTGGCATGTATTTATCATAGTTGCAGGATCTCCCTGTCTATGCCAGCCAGCCAGCTAGCCACTCCTTCCATCTACCCCATCCTTCCATCTATCCATCCATCATCCACCCCATCCTTTTATGTTTCCATATATTCCTCCAGCCATTCCTCCACCCTCCCCCATCATATCACTCCACCCATCTATACATCCATCCATCCATCATATCACCTCATCCATCTATCGGTATACATCCATATATTTCTCCATCCATCCATCCATCCATCCATCCATCCATCCATCCATCTATCTATCCAATCAGCCCATCCATCCATCCATCTATCTATCCAACCACCCATCCCTCCATCATATCCCTTCATCCATCTATACATCCATATATTCATCCATCCATCATATCACCTCATCCATCTACTGGTATACAGTAAATCCATATATTTCTCCAGCCATTCCTCCATTCCTCCATCCCTCCTTCCCTCCCTCCATCCAATCAACCCATCCATCCATCCATCCATCCATCCATCCATCCATCCATCTATCTATCCAACCACTCATCCCTCCATCATATCCCTCCATCCATCTATACATCCATATATTCATCCATCCATCTATCCATCATATCACCTCATCCATCTACCAGTATACATCCATATATTTCTCCATCCATTCTATCCATCCATCCATCCATCCATCCATCCATCCATCCATCCATCCATCTATCCAACCACCCATCCCTCCATCACATCACCCCATCCATCTATACATTCATATATTCATCCATCCATCTCCAGATACCAAACAGGCACCACCATTTCTGTTAAAATGGTGCAGCCAAATGGCTTCACCTCTCAGGAGTGTCTCCCTGTCACATGACTGTGTGACTTGCAATTTAATGCTTCTTTTCCCACCTTATGTGGCTGACTAAATTTTCTTGAGATTCTTCTTCCTCTCTTTCTGTAGCGGTTATAATTTTCACAAGGTTGCTAGCCTGATGCTCAACCCTCCTCCTTTCTCATCCGGGCTTGGGACCGGCAATGGCAGAGTCAATACTGAAGATCCTTTACTACCCGATATATTACACAGCACGGGAGGATCTAATGCTAAATGCTTTCCACCTCTGGCATCCATCTTCTGCAGAAGCCTATGCAATGGGTTTCTTTGAGAACAAGGAATTCTTCTTTTGATGCAATGTAAAAATTTCTCCTGTTGCGGATGGATCACCTCCTCAGCCTCCAGCAGCACTCTGCTGGCCAAAAATGGGTCACACGGAAACCTCACGAGATCCTGCATGGCGCGTTTTCAGCCTCCCCGGCCTGTAGCAGCACTCTGCCAGCCAAAAACGGGCCACGCAGAAACCTCACAAGGCCCTGTGCGGCCTGTTTTTGGCCTCCCTGACTTCTAGCAGCACTCTGCCAGCCAGAAACAGGCCACGCAGAATCCTCACGAGGCCCTGCGCGGCCCATTTTTGACCGGTAGAGTGCTGCAGGAGGCCAAGGAGGCGGAAAAGGGGTCCTGGGGAGACCACACTCAGCCCATTTTGGCCAGCAGAGGCACCACAGGCTGGTCCTTTGTCATATTTACAGGCTGGCCTCATGGGCCGGATTTAAGGACCCCGTGGGCCAAATCCGGTCCACGGACCTTGAATTTGACACTCCTGGTGTCTAGGTTCTCTTGGTGGTTCGATCAGAAAAATATGTTAAAAAAAAGGAAATGTAACCCCTGCTACATAAACTTTTGTTATTGTTTTCCAGAAAATAAAAGCACAGCCGTGACCGTCCAGAAGGGCTGCGCCACAGAATCCATGTGCTGGAGAGACACAGATATATACCTCAGACTGAAGGGAGAAAATTCTCATGCCGAATGTTGTAAAAGGAATCTTTGTAACAAAGCCCACAGTCCCACCAACCCAGAACTGATGACAATTCTCAGTTTATGCTTGGTGTTTACGGTCTATCAATAACCACCCCTGTTTCATCGATGGGTACAGAAATAAATTTGGGACATTCTGGTGGTGGGGTTAGTTTTTGGTTTTGCCTCTGCCGTTCAAATGCATAAACTTGGTTGCTTTTCTAAAAATGTTGCTTTTCTTTCTCCCATTTTTGCCCCCTGAGGAGGTGAGGTCTCCTTTGAATTGACCTCGGCTTCAGGTGAGGTACGGATATGCAGGTTTCTGGGCATCCCAAAAGTGCTTTTTCAGGAGGCAACTGGACTTCCTTGTTTTTTCTTTTGAAGACGTTTCGCTTCTCATCCAAGAAGCTTCTTCAGCTCTGACTGGATGGTGGGGAATGGAAGGATTTATAGTACTTGCAGACAGCTGGTCATTTGCATCCTTTTAGAGCAGTGTTTCTCAACCTTGGAAGCTTGAAGATGGGTGGACTTCAACTCCCAGAATCCCCCAGCCAGCGCTGCTGGCTGGGGGATTCTGGGAGTTGAAGTCCACCCATCTTCAAGCTACCAAGGTTGAGAAACACTGTTTTAGAGAGTCATTGAGGCCACTTGGAGGTTTATCTGTGTCCTCAGGGTATCCTGAGTGGCGCTCCTGGTTCCTGTAGTCTGCAATTTTTCTTGGTTTGTTTTTTTTTGAAGACATTTCGCTTCTCATCCAAGAAGCTTCTTCAGCTCTGGCAGAGTAAGTGGGGAATGAAAGGAACAGTATAGTTTCTGGGCAACAGTACAGAAATAGGTTGAAGTTGTCTTTCTCCAAGATGTCCTGGAGATACAAGGTTCATTTAGTGACCATTCAAAGTTACAACAGCACCGAAAAAAGCGACTTATGACGTTTTTCACGCTTACGACCATTGCAGCATCCCCATGGCTGTGCGAACAAAAATTCGGACGCTTGGCAACTGGTTCATATTCATGATCGTCGCAGCATCCTGGCGTCACATGATCCTCTTTGGTGACCCTCTGACAAGCAAAGTCAATGGGGGAAATCAGATTCACTTAACAACTGGATTACTAACTCAACAGCTGGAATGATTCACTTAACAACAAGTGGCAAGAAAAGTCGTAAAGTGGGGCAAAACTCACTTCAGAAATGTCTCCCTCAGCAACATAATTTTGGGGCTCAATTATATTCTCAGCTTTCCAGCTGAAACTAAAAGCAACTTGGTCTCCATCCAAATATTAACCAGATCCTGAGCATTGAAGTAAAACTATAGAGCACAGATGGCTAACCTTATTGCCGTCGCGTGCCAAAAGTGTATATTACACAGCATGGGAGGATCTAATGCTAAATGCTTTCCACCTCTGGCATCCATCTTCTGCAGAAGCCTATGCAATGGGTTTCTTTGAGAACAAGGAATTCTTCTTTTGATGCAATGTAAAAATTTCTCCTGTTGCGGATGGATCACCTCCTCAGGCTCCTCAGGCTCCACTCTGCTGGCCAAAAATGGACCACACAGACCCTGACGAGGCCTGCGTGGCCCGTTTTCGGCCTCCCTGCCTCTAGCACATCACAAATGTCTCCTCAGCAACATAATTTTGGGGCTCAATTATATTCTCAGCTTTCAGTTGAAACTAAAAGCAATTTGGTCTCCATCCAAATGTTAACCAGATCCTGAGCATTGAAGTAAAACTATAGAGCAGCGATGGCTAACCTTATTGCCGTTGCGTGCCAAAAGTGTATATTACACAGCATGGGAGGATCTAATGCTAAATGCTTTCCACCTCTGGCATCCATTTCTGCAGAAGCCTATGCAATGGGTTTCTTGAGAACAAGGAATTCTTCTTTTGATGCAATGTAAAAATTTCTCTGTTGCGGATGGATCACCTCCTCAGGCTCCTCAGGCTCCACTCTGCTGGCCAAAAATGGACCACACAGAACCCTGACGAGGCCCTGCGTGGCCCGTTTCGGCCTCCCTGCCTCTAGCACTTCACAAATGTCTCCCTCAGCAACATAATTTTGGGGCTCAATTATATTCTCAGCTTTCCAGTTGAAACTAAAAGCAATTTGGTCTCCATCCAAATGTTAACCAGATCCTGAGCATTGAAGTAAAACTTATAGAGCAGCGATGGCTAACCTTATTGCCGTTGCGTGCCAAAAGTGGGGGGAGCGCGAGGGGGTTGCGCACACGTCTACCCACACCCTTAATTTAATGCCCCCCACCCCACGCATGCATGCGTGACCCCCCAAGACTCCCCCCTCCCACTTTTGGCATACGATGGCAAAAAGATTACCAGTGGGCTCGGTACGGTAGGCCTGTTTTTCGCCCTCCTCAGGCTTCCAAGGTTTTCTTGGAGCCTGGGGAGGGTGAAAACGGCCTTCCCCACCCCCCTGGAGGCCCTCCGGAGGCCGGAAACAGCCTGTTTCCTGACTTCCGGTGGCCCCAGAAGGTCTGGTTTTCACTGTCCCCAGGCTCCAGAGGCTTTGAAACGGAGATGAGCACCGCCTCCTAGAGTCGGAAACGACTAGCACATATGTGTGAGGGGAACCTTTACTTTTATGCACTGTGTGTAGCACACACAGCCAATAATCTCCTGACTATGTGATAACATTCATGGTATTAGTCTTGGAAAGATTATAGGACGATAAATGTGTTTATCTCACAAGTGGCCAAAAGTCCTTTTTTTTTTTCTGCCTCCTGCTGCAAACTCTCTGAATATGGGAAACCCTTGCTTGGGGAACAGCTGCAACCAGATGTCCTGATTCATAAAGAGGCAGGCTAATTACAATAATGAAGGAGGTGCAGTCAAGTCAGGGAGGGGCCTTTGATCTGCAGAAGACGAGTAACAACTGGAATTCCTGCTTGAATGTTCAGCGGGCAAGTTGTATTCACAGGCAAAGTCCTCTGGCCTCCACATACCAACTATGGAAGCCCAGTTTGGGATCTCAAAGAAGGAATGAAGGGACGGTCCTACAGAATGGTCAACTGGCTGCCAGTAGAAGAAAAGAAATTCACGTAGGGACCCTGGCTGCCTCTCAACCTGTGTCCAAGGTAAGGCTTCTTAGACTGATATCTGAGCTGTTGCATTGTGCGGAAACATCTAAAGGAGACACGGTAAGGAGACTTGTAATGTAATCTCGGAGGCATCTCTTCATGCTAGAAATCTCTCCCAACTTTATTTTCTGTATCTTTCTTTTGATTGGGACAACCCAGAAAGTGTCCCAAAACTTTTGAGGAACGGGATAAACCATGTTCTATAGTGGCCCACCGTGGAATTTCTCATCTCCCCGTACGCGGTGGGTGATTCCAAGAGGAACTGCAGTCTGCAACTCATTCTCACTTCCGTGAATTGAGATGGGATCTCAAAATATGCTCCGGGTTATCCTCAGTTGCGCTCTTTAGGGGAAAATAGATAGCCTTCAGAGAAGTTGGTTTGCCATCATCGCTCTTATTGAGGTCTTTCTGAGGACTTTTTTTTTTTTTTTTTTGGGAAAGTCACACTTGGAAAATGATGATTTCTTTGGCTTCAACTTGCCTCACGAGGTCTATTTTTAAATCGTTGAATGCCTGCTCCTTATAATATTGACTCTTTCTTTCTCTCTTCCAGCTTTTCTCTTCTTTATTCTTGCTTTGTATTTATACGTTGAATCGTATTCATACGAAGAATTGAGAACATATAGCTTGATATATCAAGTTTTCAATCTGATCATCAGAACAAATCAGTGAAACAGTCAAGAGTAGTTCACCTCAACAATGGACAGTTCAGTTTGCACCTCGGTTCCCAACTAAGATTATTTCTTCTTTTTGGGGAAGGAGGGAGAGAGGGAGAGAGAGAGAAGGGGAGAGAGAGGGAGAGGGAAAGGGAGGGAGGGAGAGAGGGAGGGAGAGGGAGAGAGAGGGGAGAGAAGAGTGAGAAGGGGAGAGAGAGGGAGAGGGAAAGGGAGGGAGGGAAAGAGAGGGGGAGAGAGAAGGAGGGAGGGAGGGAGAGAGAGAGGGAAAGGAAAAGGGAGAGAGGAGAGGGAGGGAGGGAGAGAAGGGGAGAGAAGAGAGAAGGGGAGAGGGAGGGCGGGAGGGAGAGGGAGAGAGAGGGGAGAGAGAGAAGGGGAGAGAGGGAGAGGGAAAGGGAGGGAGGGAGAGAGGGAGGGAGAGAGGGGGAGAGAAGAGAGGGGAGAGAGAGGGAGAGGGAAAGGGAGGGAGGGAAAGAGAGGGGAGAGAGAAGGAGGGAGAGAGAGGGAAAGGAAAAGGGAGAGAGGAGAGGGCGGGAGGGAGAGGGAGAGAGAGGGGAGAGAGAGAAGGGGAGAGAGGGAGAGGGAAAGGGAGAGAGGGAGGGCGGGAGGGCGGGAGGGAGAGGGAGAGAGGGGAGAGAGAAGGGGAGAGAGGGAGAGGAAAGGGAGGGAGGAGAGAGGGAGAGAGAGGGGAGAGAGGAGAAGGGGAGAGAGAGGGAGAGGGAAAGGGAGGGAGGGAAAGAGAGAGGGGGAGAGAGAAGGAGGGAGGGAGGGAGGGAGAGAGGGAAAGGGAAAGGGAGAGAGGAGAGGGAGGGAGGGAGGGAGGGAGAGAGATTAAAAACAATTAATAAATCATAATATACCAGTAGGAGAAGGTAGTAGGAAAAATGAGAAGATGGCATAGAGGGTAAATCTCACCCCCCACTCAACCATTCCGGGCACTCTAGAGCCACCCTGTGCAATGGGAAAATTTTGGCCTGGGGAACCATCCTTCAACTGCTGTTGGAAACAAAGAAATGTATGTCACTCCAAGATCCCACGTTTTATGTTAGTTGTTGCAGGCTGGAACCTCAAACAGAGAGGAACTTTTAAGTATTGGAGAGAGCATGGACAGGGCAACAGCTACTGAAGTGGTTGTGGGATGTGTCAGTGCTTCATGGGTCACGCATTATTCAGGCACGCTAGTTTGGAGTTCAGCCAAGACTCCGCTTTTATGTCAAACCTTTGCATTTTTAGAACATTCCATCGCTCGCCTTGACTAAGTTGTTTTGCCTCTGGGCAAAGGTAACCAGGTGCAGATTTAACAGCTTCCACCCTTGGATTTAATATTGTTATTTGTTGCTTCTGTGTTTTATGTGTATATTTGGTTAAAAGGGTCGATTTCCATGCTCCCAACAATCAAAGGCTGATACCCGGGCAGGGTGAGCTGTTATCTCCATCTCTTGCACTATCCCCAACCTGGTACAATAGTGATATAGGCACCTTGGGTGGGATCCCAAAACATCCGGAGTGCCACTGGAACGTTGTTGGCATTGACAAAATCACCATCAGTCAATGGCGAAAGGCAGCTCTGCTTGGAAGGGCCTTCATCCTGTGAGGATACCGTCAACATTGTTAAAACAGAAGTATCCGCCTATCTCAGATGCTTGGGAAGGACTCAAAACGACGGATAAAAAAAATGCCAAATCTAGTCTAAACATGTGGCTGATGGCACAATGAGCCCTAAATCATACTTATTCCCAAGATTTCAGCTGACTCAAAAGCGATGATACATGAAAGCTAGCAACCGATAACATTAGATAGTCTTTGCCCCTGATTTCTGGAGATCAAGTCACTTCTAAAGAATTTGGCGATTCCCTTAGCAATTCTGTTCTCAGGCCACTTACCAAAAGTAGCTGGTGTTTCTTCCAGGTCTTACTCTCTGTACAAATTTACTCCTGATTGGTGCTGTTTTCTCCAGTCCCCAAACGTTTGTGACCAATGAGGCCTGAAGCTGCCGAATGCAAAATTAGAAATTAATTAAAATTAAAAATGGCATTACTGCAGAAAACTAACCAAACCCTTTTCAAAGGAAAATCGATTTATTCAGAGCATGGCAGAGGACCGATCCATCGTCCCTATTGCTTGCTTGTAGAATTCTTTCCTTGTTTAAATGGAGAGGAACTTTTCCTAAACTGGGATATACCATGTTTTCCCCAAAATAAGACTGGGTCTTATTTTAATTTTTGCTCCAAAAGACACATTAGGGCTTATTTTCTGGTTAGGTCTTATTTGGGAGGAAAATACAGTACAAAACACCTCTGTCTACTGACAATCTTAACTGGGGCTTATTTTTGGGATAGGGCTTATATTACAAGCATCCTGAAAAATCATGCTAGGGCTTATTTTCTGGTTGGGTCTTATTTTCGGGGAAACAGGGTACCTACCACCGATTAAGCATCATGCGATGTAATAGTAAATCTGAGATGCTCCACGCTGAATCCCATTTTGCAGGAAAGCAAAACCATCGTTAAGCAAAGTGAACTCATTTGTCCCTGGACCATCCCTTGATTTATAGTTAGAGGGGGAAAAAAATAAGCGGAGCCCTCGCTTATTCCCAAATACGTTGGCTGGGATTTGGCTGAAGTTAGTTCAGACAATCTTATGTTCTATAAGAGGGGATGTAAGATGACAGTCTAACAAAGCTGCATGATGTTGGTATAGCTGTAAATCCATGCCTGCACAATTGTGTATGTGTGTAAGGTGGGGGGTAGCAAGAGGTGTCAGTGGAGGAATTTGCCATATATGGGTCTCAACATATTTCTCAGCAGCTGCCATATATATTTAATTTTTCTTTTTGTATTTGCTAATCAGCTTAATTGATTTTACCATTGTTTGCTACGCACAGTCTCTTGTTTGAGATCAGTGGCCAATACAGGTAGTCCTCAACTAAGGTCGACAACTGAGCCCGAAATATCTGTGGTTAAGTGAGTTTTGCCCCATTGTACGACCTTTCTCGCCACCGTTGTTCAGTGAATCACTGCAGCCGATAAGTTAATAACCCGGTTGTTAAGTGAACCTTGCCTTCCTCCTTGACTTTGCTTGTCAGAGGGTCGTAAAAGGGGGTCGCGTGACCTTGGGACACAGCAACGGTCATAAGTATGAGTCAGTGGCCAAGCATCTGAATTTTGATCATGTGATCATGGGGCTGCTACAAAGGTTGCAAATCAAAGGTAGGCTTCACATAATTTAACTACTAGTTTGCCCAGCACCGAAAATGTGAGTGTGCGCTTGCACACATGTGCTTTGCTCGTGCATGCGGCTTGCACGCATGTGTGTGTGTGGCTTAGAAAACGTGGCCAAATAGGATGGCATAGTGCTGGGGCGGGTGGGTGGGGCACATTCGCAGGTTGCAACTACCGGTTCTCCCGAACCGGTCAGAACCGGCTGAATTCCACCACTGTTGCAAATGTGAAAAAATGGTTTTGTAACCTCACTTTTTTCAGTGCCCTTGTAACTTTGAACAGTCGCTAAACGTACTGCTGTAAGTCGAGGACTACCTGTACAAATTGAATGAATAAAGAAAGAAATGCCAAAGCCCAGAGCTGCTGCTTGGAGCATCTGAAAATGTTTTTATCTAGGCACCGGGGTTGGCATCAAAGCGGACAAATATAAGTTGTCAAAAACTGGCATCCGTAGCTCTGTTTCTAACCCAGCATACCGTCCTTAAGAAAAGAAGAACTGGCATAGGAGATAATAATGCCTGCTTTAAGATGAGAAGAGGTCAGAGCTGGGGTGTCAAACTCGATTTCATTGAGGGCCGCATCAGCGTTGTGTTTGACCTCAGGGGTGTGTGTGGGGGTGTGGCTATGGGGGGCGTGGCCAGCTCCACGTCACTCCTGTCGGGGGCGCCTGTGGCAGCCCGAGTGCTCTGCCAGCAAAAAGGGGCTCCTGAGCTCCGTTTTCGGCTGTTATGGCCTCCCGCAACCCTCTGCAGGATTGTGCAGCCCTCCCGAGCTCCATTTTCACTGGCAGAGAGCTGCAGGAGGCCGTGGCAGCCGAAAACGGAGCTCGGGAGCCCGTTTTCACTGGCAGAAGTGCTATGGGCTGGTCCTTTGCTGTTTCCAGGGCAGCCCCACTGGCCAGATCTAAGTACCCCACGGGCCGGATCCTTGAATTTGACACCTCTGGGTTAGAGTAATTCGTGCCATGAGCTGGAAACAGATTCAAATCCTCCTATTCTGGATAGAGTAGCCAGAGCTATCTTGCTGTAAATGCAAAGGAACGCATCTTCTTTGTTCCTTGCAGAGAAGAAAGAATTTGGGCAAATGGATTTTTTCCCCCTCTCCACCCTGGACCAGAGTGACAGGACAAGCGAACCACTGCTGAAATTGTACCACTTTGATATTTAGAATTTCTGCCTCTATTGCAGTGTTTCTCAACCTTGGTAGCTTGAAGATGGGTGGCTTCAAGCTTCCAAGATTGAGAAACACTGCTCTATTGCATCTGATCTCCCAACCCAGGGAGCTGGACATATCAGAAGGACCCATCCTAGCAGAAAGGATAAAATATTATTTACTGTAGCAAGGAGTTCCCCTGGCAACAACCCACCTGTGGCCAAGGAGGCGAGTAGGCATAGTGGTGATGAGCTGCTCTGGAGCTGCTTTCGTTGTCTTGTTTCTCGCTTCACCAGTCGGTCCCGTTCTCCGGCTTGGCTTGGTAAATTGTACCTTCCTACTTCTTCGAGTCTCGGTCCCATCTGATTGAGACAGCCAGCTTGGCCTAAAACCTGCTCGGCAGCTCCAGGAGGAAAGCAGTGGGTGATGCAACCAACCCACCCATTATTAAGGTAGTGTTGTCACCTAGGCCCAAATAGTTATTACCAGACACAATCAGTGTCTAAACAAACATATTTTATTAGAACAGCTGAGAATTACTTCATTCTCAGCTTAGTCCAAATTAAGTCCAACACGAATTCTTCGTAAACAGTCCTTCGGCCTTATCACCAACCTTTGTCTTCTTTGGCACCCTGCCAAAGGCTTTTCTTGGCAAAAGTTCAGAAGCAAGAGATGCCGACAAGAAACAAATGTAGCAATGTTGCTTTCCTACAAAGATCCCAAGAGCCGTTGCTGCTCTTTTAAGCCTTCTGGGAGGGGGCCAATCATCTCCTGGCCTTACTCCCAAGTCGTCCTTTTTGCTTTAGCTGCTCTTGCCTTCTGGCAGCTCTTTCACATGCATGCACTAGGAACAGGCTCCTCCTGTTCCTCTGCCTCTCTGCTGTCCGCCTCTGGAGGCTCCGGAGTCCGCGCATCACTCCCAGATGGCCCTGACCCCATCTCTGCCTCCAACGCAGAGCCCTTGTCCAGGCCTTCCCCTGACTCCAGGACTGGCCCATGTTCCTCCCCAGCCTCCTCACTGTCTGACTCTGCTGCCAGCTCTGCAAGCTGCTGGCAGACTACAACAGGTGGTGCCCGAGAACAAAATCAATTACCCTTTGTCACCGATGGCTTTGGAGGAGAATTTTGAGGACTGGTAGTGACTGGGAACTACTGAGGCAGCAGAGGCAGGATAAGGCTCAGCCACAGGGGGAGTGAATGTCTTTCTAACTAGGATGGGTGCAAATTTCTGAAAACTAGTCTGCACATGGCAGGGAATAGATTAATTAATCAGAATAGAACTGGAAGGGGCCTTGGAGGACTTCTAGTCCAATCCCCGGCTCAAACGGGACCCTATACTGCTGTCCAGTCTCTTCTTAAAAACCTCCAGCGATGAAGCACCCACAACTTCTGGTGGCAAGCTGTTCCACCGGTTAATTGTCCTCACTGTTAGGAAGTTTCTCCTTCATTCCAGGTTGTTTTTCTCCTGGATTAGTTTCCATCCATTGTTTCTTGTCTTGCCTTCTGGTGCTTTGGGAAAATAAGTTGATCCTCTCTCCTTTGTGGTCCGTGTCTTTGACCAGCTTTAAGGACAGAACGATTCGGCATTAAATGCTGGTATTTTTAAACTTTGTAAGCTGAGCAGTTCAGTGGCTACTTGCAGAATTTATACATCACATTTTCAAGAATTCCTTATGCTATTTTCAGGGAGTACAAATGCATAAGAGAGTCAGTTTGATGTGGTTAAGGTGCTGGCCTAGAAATCAGGATACTTGTGAGTTCTAGTGTTGCCTTAGGCATGGAATTATGTTGGAGGACTTTGGTTCAATCACCAGGAGATAGTGAAGTCTAGTCCTGCCTTAGCTATGAAAGTCGGCTGGGTGACTTTAGGCCAATCACCAGGTGTCTCTGAATTCTAGTCCCACCGTAGGCATGAAAGCCAACTGAGTGACTTTGGGCCAGTCATTCTCTCTCAGCCCAATCTACCTCACAGGGTTGTTGTTTTGGGGAAAATAGGTATGTTTGCTGCCTTGAGTTATTTATAAAGGCAGAATTTTAAAAATAATCTAATAAATGCATTCCTACTAGCATGCAGTAACAGCCACGGTATCCACCGCACACTTTTTTTTAGAAAACACTTTGGAAGCGGGTGCATAAATTTGCAGAGTGGAAAAATTTGCTTGCCAACAGTTTTAGGGAAGGCACGCCTCGGATGGGTTCAGCCTCTGGCTCATTTTTATGACCCATAACTTTAGAAATATCTCTCTGGTATCCGAGGTCACGTTTTGCTTCGTTGCTCACGAGGCTTTTCCATTACTAGCAAAGTTTCCTTCCCCTACACAGCATTGCCCAATTTCTCTGGGTTGTAAAGAATGTCAGGCAGCACGTTGGAGAATATATCATGTTGATGAAATGGCAATGATGGCCAAGCATCGGGGGTGAAATCCAGCAGGTTCTGACAGGTTCTGGAGAACCGGTAGGGGAAATTTTGAGTAGTTCGGAGAACCGGCAAATACCACCTCTGGCTGGCCCCAAAGTGGGGTGGGAATGGAGATTTTGCAATATCCTTCCCCCAGGAGTGGGGAGAGAATGGGGATTTTGCAGTATCCTTCCCCTGGAGTGGGGTGGGAATGGAGATTTTGCAATACCCTTCCCCCAGGAGTGGGGAGAGAATGGAGATTTTGCAATATCCTTCCCCTGGAGTGGGGTGGGAATGCAGATTTTGCAGTATCCTTCCCCCAGGAGTGGTGAGAGAATGGGGATTTTGCAGTATCCTTCCCCTGGAGTGAGGTGGGAATGCAGATTTTGCAGTATCCTTCCCCCAGGAGTGGGGAGAGAATGGGGATTTTGCAGTATCCTTACCCTGGAGTAAGGTGGGAATGGAGATTTTGCAATATTCTTCCCCCAGGAGTGGGGAGAGAATGGGGATTTTGCAGTATCCTTCCCCTGGAATGGGGTGGGAATGGAGATTTTGCAATATCCTTCCCCCAGGAGTGGGGAGGGAATGGGTATTTTGCAGTATCCTTCCCCCAGGAGTGAGGAAGGAATGGGAATTTTGCAGTATCCTTCCCCTGCCATGCTCACCAAGCCACGGCCACCAAGCCACACCCAACAAGCCATGCCCACAGAACCGGTAGTAAAAAAATGTTGGATTTCACCACTGCCAAGCATCATATACATAAGTTTGACTCAGCCTTCCATCCTTCTGAGGTGGGTAAAATGAGGACCCAGAGGGAACTGTAAAGCACCATGAAGCAGTATATAAGTAAGTGCTACTGTCTATTGCTATTTTTGCTCCCTGAAATGGAAATCTTTGCAGCTGGAGACCCAACCAGGAAATTACAAACCATTATTTTCAAAGCAAAATGAAAATATCTGGAAGATATTTTTCCAGATATACGGAAGTGCCACCGGTTTGATGTGGCATTCTATTGATCAATAACAATTCTGGTCCTGGTGACCGACCCAAATTCGATCTTGCATCATTATCCTGGGATACATATATTTGCCTTCCTTCGTAATGAAAATTCTTTTCTACTTTACAGGTGATTGATGGTTATTCCAGAGGTGGAAGGAACACTGCCCCGAGCATATTTCCAGAATCTGAACTCGGCATTGCAAAAACCAAAACATACCCCAAATAAGCCATAAATTGCAACCGTCAACAAAATTGCACATATGCTGTCAGTTGATTAATCTTGCTACCATTGGCCAATTCAACACCACTGAATGCTGGCCAACTTCTCAAGAAGAACAGAGAATATTTTTCTCCCCATCCTTTTTTTTCAGCCGAACACGGCGTCTTTTGCTGTGGATAGTAGATTGCCCCATTTGTCTCTTGCCTGCTGAGCAAGTTTGTAAATCAAAGCTCGCCGGATTGCTTACTCCACCGACTCTTACTACAAGGCGTCCAACATATGAGGAAGATGGCACTGTGGGAAGAATACTGCCAACAGATCAAGAATCTGCTGCTGACTGTCATATTTGTCTTCTGTCTATTGGATGCAGGTAAGAATGAGCCTGTCGGGATGGGTGAGCTTCTCAGTGGGATGAGGAAGAACCAGTGGTGGGATTCAACCAGTTCACACCACTTTGGCTGAACCGGTTGTTAAATTGCTGGCTGGCCCCTCCCGTCCCTTCCCCTTCCAGAAGTCCTCACGTGCCCCGTTTTGGCTCCCAGATAAGTGCAGGGAGGCCTCCTAGGCCCAAAACGGGGCGCGGGAGTGTGTGGTGTGGCCTCCCATGGCCCGTTTTTGCTCCCAGGGAGGTGCAGGAGGCCGAGTGCTGCCTGTCGCAACCCCTGTCCACACCCATGGCCACAGTCACCAAGCCGGTCATTATGGCAGAGAACCGGTTGCTAAATTATTTGAATCCCATCACTGTGGAGAACCATGGAAAGAGCTTCTCCACCACTGTGGAGAACCATGGAAAGAGCTTCTCCAGCACTGTGGAGAACCATGGAAAGAGCTTCTCCACCACTGTGGAGAACCATGGAAAGAGCTTCTCCACCACTGTGGAGAACCATGGAAAGAGCTTCTCCACCACTGTGGAGAACCATGGAAAGAGCTTCTCCACCACTGTGGAGAACCATGGAAAGAGCTTCTCCACCACTGTGGAGAACCATGGAAAGACCTTCTCCACCACTGTGGAGAACCATGGAAAGACCTTCTCCACCACTGTGGAGAACCATGGAAAGACCTTCTCCACCACTGTGGAGAACCATGGAAAGAGCTTCACCACTACTGTGGAGAACCATGGAAAGAGCTTCAAGATTTAGACAAGAAGGAAACAGACACAGGGAAAAACGTTGGCTTTCTCCTGATTTTTGAGCCCCATATTTCCTCTTTATCGGTCAATACAGTGTAAATATTTAGCAGAACCAGTTAGATAAATCATCTCCATTAAACTCAGAAGGACAAAAATGAGGAAATGGTGACCCTCAAGGTTTGATGAAACTCCAAGGTGGCAAGCATAGCTCTAGTTATGTTTAAACTGTTTTTTTGGGGGGGAGGCGGAGTAGTTTAGGGTATTGTATGAACCAACTACTTACTAGCTGGTAAGTAAGTGCTGTTCAATCTCTTAACTGTGCAACTCCAAAACAACAACAAACTCCCCACCATCCGTTAATTTAGTAATCAGCATAAGCCTGTTGTGTCAGCATAGCCAGCTAGCCCTAATTATCTCCCCTTGAAATGATTGAGATATAAATTAACCGAAGCGAATGGTTGATTGATTTGAGAGCTGTTTCTCCTAATTTAGCTGGAAGGTCACAACAAACAATTATGAAATGCAATTAAAATAAGAAAACAGGTAACGGGAAATTCTCAATCACATTATATAGGTGACAGGTTAAATTGAAATGGCTTTTGATACGTAAAAATTCAAACTAAGAAAAAAACCCACACGTACAAAATGCATTCTATGTTTGCCTGAAAAACAGCTTTGTGTGTTAGGCAGTGTTGTGGCTCCGTTACCTGAGCCTGTGTCATCGGCAGGAGAGGACTCTGAGAGTGAAGGAGAGGAGTTGGCAAGGCCTCCCTCTCCAGGACCCTCCTCTCTGGCAATGCCTTCGATGTCCGCTGAAGGTCAAGAGATAGGGCTGGGGCCAAGCACGTCCACGCAGCCACAGGTGGACAGTAATGAGGGAGATGAGTCTTGGCTGGATCCTCGGCAGCGTCGCAGAGATAAGCGCGCGCAACAGAAGAAGAGGTGTGCCAGAGATTAAGCTGAATCACTGGACCACACCCCACAGGGTATAAAAGGGGATGAGGTGGCCATTCAGACTCTGTGACGGACAAAACTAACTACTATCGAGTCACATTGCATCTTTGGAAACAACATTATCTGCCTTGGATTTAATTACGGACTGGACAATTCTTGAACTGTGTGTATCTTGTTTATGAGTAAAGTTCTTGGCAAGCAGCTACTGGGTTGCTGCCAAGCCTCTTATAGAAAGAATTGGTTGTCTGCCAATTTATTTAACCCTGTCTGTTTGTGTGCGTGTGTGAGACGGGGACAGAACAGGCAGTGGCCAAAACACTTGACAGGCGGCTTTCAAAATGTTATTGTCAGATGCAAGAAACCAGAGCTGCTTGTGAATAACAAAAGCCAATAACTTTATCATCTACCAGCTATGTTACAAGAATCTTACCAGCCTTCTTCTCTTTTCCTGGGAATGACCAGTTAAGGTTCCAGGTGTCTTGGGGGAAGTCAAGGTTTTGTTACTTGTGATGGCACAAGGATTCCAAGCTAGGTCCTCGCTTGACCCCTCCTTCCAGATTGGCTGACAGTTTCCCCAACAGTTATTGCCATTTATCGATTGTTTTCTTTCTCTGTAGTGAGTGGCCTGCAGTGCTACCAGTGTGTGGGGATGTTCCATGAATGTGTCCAATCAGAGCAATTGTGTACGCCGAGGGATCGGTCCTGCTTCTCATCTACCATCAAACTTTTCTGTAAGGAGACTCCTCCCCAGGGGTGAAATCCAGCAGGTTCTGACAGGTTCTGGACAACCGGTAGCAGAAATTTGGAGTAGTTCGGAAAACTGGCAAATACCCCCTCTGGCTGGCCCCAGAGTGGGTTGGGAATGGAGATTTTGCACTATCCTTCCCCCAGGAGTGGGGAGGGAATGGGGATTTTGCAGTATTCTTCTTCTGCCACGCCCACCAAGCCACACCACGCCCAGCAAGCCACGCCCACAGACGGATTTGACCACTGCTCCTCCCCCAATTTTATGCACTTACTACAATACTTATTTACTTCAATTATATCCACCTTTTTCTTCAAAATGGACCATTTTTGTCTGCTTGCAATAAGTACAGGCTAATGGCTCAATGCTTTCCGCAGGGAGGGGATGACCTATAAAATTTGTTAGCAGTTAACAAGCAATTAAAAAATAATTAGAAAACAAAGTATTCAAACAATGTCATTTGAAAAGTGTTGACTGCAATTTGACCAAGATGACTATTCTCTTGTCTCCCAGAGCTTTAAACCCAGGGTTGGGCTGCTGGCGGTTTGCAGAGGTTTCGGAGAACCTCTAGCTAAGATTCTGTGCAGTTTGAAGAACCCCCAAATCTCACTCCTGGCTGGCCACGCCCACCCTGCCCCTCCCCTCCCAGGAGTCCAGAAAAAAAATGCTTTTAGAAGCTTCTGACGATCAGGCAACTCAGCTGGGATCGCCAGAGGCTTTTAAAGGCATTTTTTTTCCTACAGCCTCTTCGGCCGAAGAGGTTGCAGAAAAAAATGCTTTTAAAAGTTAAAAAAAAAAAAAAGGCTCTGATGAGGTGGGCGGGGTAAGCGAGCGGCGACCGGGCCGGGGACCAGTTTGGGGGGCATGGCCAGCCAATGTTATTACCGATTCTCCGAACTACTAGAAATTTTTACTACCGGTTCTTGCGAACCGGTGCAAACCGGGAGCAACCCACCACTGGTTGATTCCTAGAATTTTTAGCTCAACATGGCCAATTTGGGAACATTTACAATATCTGAATTTTGAGGGTGATGAACTCCTGCATCCTTTACTGACCTTGTGGCTTCCATTCTTTTCCAGATTCAAACAACTATACAGGAGTATTTTTGCTTCCAGGTAAGTTGGGTGGCACTTATTAATTTTTTGATCCAGGAAGACAAGGTTCAACCTGAACAGGGAACATTTTAATTTTAAAAACACCAATCCATATGTTGATTGATTGTGACTGTTTTACCATGAATCTGGAATCCTCTCTACAATGCTCACAAGCAACTTCTTAATTTATTTCATATGCATTTGAGAGGAAGTTGGGCCAGAATCGAAAATGACCTCATTCAAGGACAAAAGGGAAGACAGGCTTGAATGTGCCTCAAGCCACATAAAACTCCAATCTTTATCTGATTTGGTTAAACATGTATGAAATTAGTAATTATTTATAAATAATAAATATTTAGAGAATAATAAATAAACGTTTAGAGAAAAGTAAATATATTTTAAGGCAGAAAAACCAGTTAGTGGCATCAATTCTACAGAAATTCTATGTGGCTGACTTTAGCTCAGAGGTGGGTTTCAGCAGGTTCTGACCAGTTCTGGAGAACCGGTAGCGGAAATTTTGAGCAGTTCGGAGAACTGGTAAATACCATGTGTGACTGGCCCTGCCCCCATCTATTCTCTGCCTCCCGAGTCCAAGCTGATCGGGAGGAAATGGGGATTTTGAAGTAACCTTCTCCTGGAGTGGGGAGGGAATGGAGCAGGGTGAAATCCAGCAGGTTCTGGAGAACTGGTAGCGGAAATTTTGAGTAGTTCGGAGAACCGGAAAATACCACCTCTGGCTGGCCCCAGAGTGGGGTGGGAATGGAGATTTTGCAATATTCTTCCCCCAGGAGTGGGGTGGGAATGGAGATTTTGCAATATCCTTCCCCCAGGAGTGGGGAGGGAATGGGGATTTTGCAGCAGCCTTCCCCTGCCATGCCCACCAAGCCACACCACACCCACCAAGCCATGCCCACAGAACCAGTAGTAAAAAAATTTGGATTTCACCACTGGAATGGAGATTTTACAGTAACCTTCCCCTGGAGTTGGGAGGGAATGGAGATTTTACAGTAACCTTCCCTTGCCATGCCCACCAAACCATGCCCACCAAGCCTCGCCACACCCACCAAGCCATACCCACAGAACTGGTAGTAAAATTTTTTGAAATGCACCACTGCTTTAGCTCATCTTCTGCTATCTCTGACTGCCCTCGACCATCATGTTCAGCTTAGATATTTAGGGTTATGGTTTGTTAATCAAATTAAAATGGCCCAATTCCCGTAACTCTAAGCCACGATGGAATGGCTTCAACATGAATTCAACTGATTTTCTTGGCCTACTTCATTCCATGTATTTCTAAACCCCAGATTTAGAAATCGCTGAGTATGTGATGAAAGGCTGTTCAGGGGAAGGTGTATCCAACCGCACAGCTAACATCTATTCAGAAGACGATCATGAAGTACACAACACATATTACTGTGACTCTAATCTCTGCAACATCCGGTTCACAGGCGGTAAGTGCAGAAGTTACAACATCAACCTGTTGAGTAAATGAGAAGTGTAAGAACCAATAAGAAACAATGTGATGGAACATTTAAGGTGTTGGACTAGGGCAGGGGTGGGCAACTGTGGCCCTTTTACAAGCTGTGGACTTCAACTCCCAGAATTCTTGAGACAGCTTGGCTGTCTCAGGAATTCTGGGAGTTGAAGTCCACAGCTTGTAAAAGGGCCACAGTTGCCCACCCCTGGACTAAGGAACCAATCCAATGTCCCTTCCAACTTTGCTGTTCTATGATTCTGGGACTTAATTCTGGGTTGACTTAAATATTAGTCCACTCTCAGCCATTAAGTAAGTGTTTTGGGGCCAATGTCTCAGCCCAACCTATCTGGCAATATTATGGTGGAGAAAAATGGTGGGAGGACAGGAAGGTTTCTGACGTCCTCCAAGTTCCCAACACTTTGAAGCAAGGAAGAGAAAATAGAATTACCGGAGTTTGGTTCTGTCTGACAGAAACGCATTCAAGCTGAAGAGTTTTAGCTTTTCTGAAGTGCAAAGTGATTTTGGACACTTCACTGGTTAGCAAAAGGCTTCCAAAAATCAGATGTCAGCGTTCCAAATTATGATCTCCTTCAGCGCTGACATGAATGAATGAAAGAGGGAGAAGCTTTGCTTTAATGCTGAGATGAACTTTTACCTAGTTTCCTGCTCTCTAGTAGATAGCGTTACCTGGGTGACAGAGGGAGGGGGGAAATTCCTGTGAAAAGAAAGTGCTTGGGACGAAGAGATGAATCTGCACGATGGCCAATGAGACATTGGGGTTGAAGAACGGAAAGGGAGGGGTATGGAAGGAGGTGCCAGTCTTGGCTGCAACCAGAGTTCAGGGATGTCGTTCTCCTATTCTTAAATAAAAAAAAAGATTCATCAGAGACCTTGCGTTTGAGAATGAAGTTTATTTAAGATAGCAACGAAACCTGACAGAAAACCAGAGAGCTGGTTTTATCTCCTAAAACTCTGCATGCTGAAGTTCTAGGATATCTTAAATTAACCTTCCTGCAGAGGGATTCTATTCGTTTTATGTGATCCCCTAGGGAGGAGATCCTTAAAGTTCTGATCCTTCATGAGGTGAAGGAGACATGGACTTGAAGGCAGATTTTCTCTGTGGTGGCCATGATGCTTTAGAACACTTTCCCAGAACTCTTCGGACCGCTGAACTGCCGACCTTTCGATCGACAAGCTCAGTATCTTAGCCACTGAGCCACTGGGTCCCATTAAAATGTAGGCATGCTATATAAACAAGTGCAATAATGAAAGAAATATATTTTTAAAGAACTGTGACCAGCGACATTCTTCTATTTTCCCAGCTCCAGCCAGCAGTACTCAAGCAGCCAACGGCATGGAGTGCTACAGCTGCTTTGATCGTGGCACGGGAGACTGTGCTGAAGGAAACGCTACTCGGGTCAAGTGTTTAGGAGATATGAATCAGTGCATGGATTTTACCGGTAAACTGAGATGTTTCTTGAATACGTTCGGGAATGATATTAAAGGGATTGAAGAACTGATGAGTGCAGATACATGAAATAGTATATCTGTGATCTTTCTACCCATCTATTTGAAAGGGGAACACAGATTAGCAAGTACGATTTTCTGCTAGCTCGACGTGACTAAACTAGACAGCACAGTGCAGTTCAGAAGAAGCTGAAGAAACAAAGGTTGGAGAAATAGGAGCGGCAATGAGGGGAGAAGATAAAAGAGAGAGAGAGAGAGAGAGAGAGAGAGAGAGAGATGCACCATGGCCAAGAGAAGACTGCAATGCAGCTTCCTCCTAAGACACGCCGAGTACCATCAATGTGGGCTTCAACTCCTAAACTTTTCAACAATGACTAGGCTAACTGGCAAATCCTGGAGATTACGGAAGTGGAAGTCCACATTTCTGGAGGATACTCAAATTGGGCAAGGCTGGCCTACAGGGCTGCTGAAACCTGAACTCTCCCTCTTGACATGAAACAATGAAGTTATGAATGGGGAACATGTAGGATCAAATCTTACTGAACCATAAATTCCAGCTTTGCTAATCACCAGGCTAACCGATCACATCTGAGAGTTGTAACTAAGGAACATCCTCATCCCTGAATTAGGTCCTGTTGTGGTCTGTCGGCTGCCGGCCCCTCAACCAGCTGAATCAGAGGAGGAGGAGGTGTGGGAAACAGGGTCAGCATCAAGGCAACCTGAGAGATCCAAGGGGAAAGTGGGAATGGAGTTGTCAGAGAGAGAGAGAGAGAGACAGAGGTGGAGCCTGGGCCATATGTCAGCCCTCAGATGGAGAGTCAACAGCCCCCAGATCTGGAGGTGGCTGATGAGGAAGAGGAGGAACAGCTGGGTCCAGTGCCTGATGCGCGGATGTGCAGAAGGCAGAGGAGAGGAGAGCAGTGGAAATCCATGGGCCGGTCCTTGGGATGGACGAGTCATCGCTGCTAGCTCTGGGGATAAAAGGCAGGGGGCAGAGATGAATAGATGTGGCAGACAACTATTCATCTCCCTGCCGGACAGACTTGTTAGCCTGTGGTGAGAGAGAAACATTTTGCCGGGGCTGCTGGTGCTCCTAATAAAGGAATCACTAATTTAAATACAGCGGATTTGTTGTGTTTGGAGAGCTGGGTGAGAACAGGTCCCCTGCCTACAGTCTGATGCATTGTGTTCCATCATGTTCTTTGATTCCTAGTGATTAATGGCGCCTGGAAAATGACGTACCGGACATGTGCCCTGGAGACCTTGTGCCGCCGGCAGTATATGCTGCCGGAACTCTCGGGGAGACTGGAGATCAGCTGCTGTTCTACACCTCTCTGTAACGATGGGCGACCTGGCCTTAAAAGCATCTGCAGCCATTTCTCAGAGCAAGGTAGCTTTCTTATTATCCATCAGGAAAAGTACACTGAGATATGAGTTGGGGGCAGGGGTGGGTTCTACTTACCTTTACTACAGGTTCGCAACGGGATCACGCACGCGTTTACATGCACTGGCTTCTGCGCACACGCAGATTGCCAATGATGACATCCGGGGCAGTGGGTGGGGCCTCCTGCCGGTTTTACTACCGGTTCTTCCGAACCGGTCCGAACCAGGGACAACCCACCACTGGTTGGGGGTCAAGCAACAGGGAAATCAGGATATTCAGGCAGTTCAAACGAGTATAAAGATTTACTCAATTCACTTTCTGAAATTATGCTAATGCTTCCACATCAGCAGCCCCCAGCCTTTTGGGCCCTGGGAAACAGTTCCGTGGAGAGAGTTTTTTCCGTGGACCGGAGGGGGTGTGGTTTCGCGTGCTGCCTGCATCCTGTGGATGGGGCTTCGCTTGTTTGCATGGCCTGGTTTCTGGCATGCCACGGACCGGTGCGGATCCACAGAGCGTGGGATTGGGGACCCCTGCTGCAAATGATTGATTGAACTGATGGATTGATTGCCCTCCAGGAGTCAAGAAGAAGCCTGAGAATGGCTTGGAATGTGCCAGTTGCTGTGATACGGGCCAAGGGGAATGTGCCCATGGGAACTGGACTCATGTCAAGTGTGTTGGGGAGCAGACCAAGTGTGTGAATGTCACAGGTGAGTTGTGTGAGCATATATGTAGGTGGGTAATGGATGAAATTGAAGCTGCACCCACAATTCTCTTCCCCGAAGGGAAAAATGGGATGTGAAAGAACAGTATTCTCTCCCCCCCTCTCCCTCTCCCTCCCACTCTCTCTCCCTCCCTCTCTCTTCCCTCTTTCTCCCTCTCTTTCTCTACCTCCCTCCTTCCCTCCCTCTCTCTACCTCCCCCCCTCTCTACCTCTCTTTCTCTCTCTACCTCTATATCTCTGTAACTGTATCTGTCTATCTTATCTTTTAACGAAGATATGAGGAATTAATATTTAGAATAAAGAGGAAAAGGGAAAGGTAAGAAAAAAAGAAAGCCAAAATTGCAGAAAGAAGACAAACAAAGAATAGAGCACTGACTTCTGATTTTCTTCAACCACAGTTATAAGTACTAAATTAGCTTCTTACTCTATGATTGGTATAATGTGTAGATACCAAGCACTGCTCTTTGTACCAACTGTAGCTTCTCAGTGGTCTTTAAAGGCAACTCGGTTAGTGTGTTGCAATAATCTAGAGAGGTAGTAGGAAGGGTGTGAGTTACTATAGGAAGGTCTCTCTCTCTCTCCCCTCACTCCAGCATCCAGGTAGGGCTTCAAATGGCTCACCAACCAATGTTGAGTGAAGGTACCCCTGGTTGCAGTTTCCAGGAGCCAGGAGGACCTGGTTAAGATGTGGCCTTGCTCCTTCAGGGACATGATCACACTTGTCAAGAGTCAGAGAACCCCAGTGGGTAATTTATTATTATTTATTATTATTATTATTTTTTCTCCTCTCCATCTTCTCACCTCTAGAAATAGCTTCACTATTAGTGATTTCCTCTTGCAGGCACTTTCAGACATTTGGTCTGGTTACAGCTGTGTTTGTTTTCTCTAGAGAAAGGCCATACATTGATGCGTGGCTGTAGCTTGGAGAAGCTTTGTTGGGAGAAACCACAGGTGTTGGACCTGGACCGAAATTCTTCGATCAACTGCTGCTCCAGCTCTCTCTGCAACAGAAGTTTGGCCCCAACTGGAGATGCTGCCTTGGTCCTCCTGCTCCTGCTTTTCTGGCTGCTCTGATAAAAGTCCGGAGTGTCCAAATTTCAAGGAAGCCAAAGAAAGCTGGAGAACAGAGAGCCCAGTGTCACAAAGACTGATGTACTGCAGCCACATACTGTCCCTCTTGCCTCCCAGCATCCAACATGACAAGTGTTGCACATAAGGTGGTTTTAATTACTCCAGCCTACGTGACCGCATTCTTTGTGATTCTCTCCACTGTCTTTTAAGTAGGAAGCTTCAAAGAAACAGGTTTAGTGATCTATGCAAGGAAGAAGGTTCTGGTTGCAAGCGAAGGTGAGGGTGGCATTGGGGCAGAAGTTACAGTCCTGAAATATTATCGGCCTCTCACTGCCTTGCAGCTTCTCAAGGCTAACTCCTGCCAAGGGACCCTAACATCTTAGCTTCCTTTCCTTCACGGGGTGAAAAAAAAAAGCCCCTTGTCCTTTTAGCATCAGTTGCAGGGTACGGCACCACGGGTATTAGTTATGCAAGACTTTTGAGTTGGCTCTCATGCCTAAATGGAAATCGATGATTTGCATAAACAAAAAATCTCTAACCGGTATGATTTCCTTGTTGTTAGAGAGAGCCAATTTTCACCCGGACTGTAAGAATCATCTCAAACCATAGTCCCACATGTGCTGAATGTTTTCTGGAGAACATGGTCCTCCAGCGAGGGGAGTGGTCCGGTGGCTTAGAGGTGGAGCTCTCGCCTCACAATCGGGAGGCTGTGAGTTTGATCCTAGGTAGAGGCAGATATTTCTCTCTCTGGATCCACACTGAGAATATATCTGCTGAACAAAACTCTGCATTGGTGACAGGGAGGGCATCTGGCCATTAAAAAATCACTCTGCTAGCTCCATTCAGTTGCCCAGACTCCACCCCGCAAGGGATTATGGAGTCATTAAATGACAACGATGACGATGGTCCTCCAGCGAGGAACAAGAGATTGTTGTCCCTGCCCTGCCTGTGGACTTCAAGATTGTGGACTTTATGATCCTGGCACCTTCATCCAGAATTGTCCAGTGAGTTTCCTCCAGGCTTCAAAGACATCGAACCGGGGAAGGCTGTCCCAAAACATTTTGTGCACACCAAGCTGATGGCGATTTTAGCCAACCTTGTTGCAAGGAATCAAATCACACTCCTTGCATTCCTTGTTGGAATTAACTCCTTTCATTCTCCTAAGAGAACTAGAACCAAGGATCGCTGTAAGCTGCCCAGGGTGACTTGGATGGCGAGATGGGTGGCGTATAAATGTAATAAACAAAAATATGAAAAGATGGGCCAATCAATACAGAGCCATGGGAGAATCTGTTCTCCAAGTTGTGGAGGCTGACTTAACGGTTGCGGTTGTTGCCTTTTTTCCTGGGTGGTTCTCCGGTGTAGAAATCTGCCAACGTCCTTGAATTCCTAGTCTGCAAAAGGATGTTCAGGAACCTTCAATACGAGGGATGCAGGGGAGACAAAGAATAGATCAAAAGACATCTTATTCAATTAAAGAAAACACAGTTTGCAGGGATGTTGTGTTCTGATGTGTGAGTCTTTCTGTAAAATGGCGTTTTGGAGAATTCCATAGCTCTGGTACCTTTTGCAGGAATTAATTTTGGAGGAGACAAATGCACCCATGAGCCAGAGATGAAATCCAGCAGGTTCTGACAGGTTCTGGAGAACCGGTAGTGGAAATTTTGAGTAGTTTGGAGAACCGGCAGATAACATCTCTGGCTGGCCCCAGAGTGGGGTGGGAATGGGGATTTTGCAGTATCCTTCCCCTGCCACGCCCACCAAGCCACACCCATAGAACCGTAGTAAAAAAATTTGAATTTCACCACTGCCATGAGCCCATCTCTACCCAAGACTTTTTTTTACCAACGCTCTAGATTTTGGAACTGGCATAAAGATGTTGTATCCAAAGAGGAGTAACCTGAGTTCCAAGAACTTCATCTGGTCCTCAAAAATCTTGTGTGGGGCTCTTAAGAGAGAGTCAAAAGTTGTGGTAGCTATGCTCCTTACACTGACCAGAAGGGAAAAATTAATAAACACACGACCAAGGAGTAATTATGTGAATTAATGTTAACGAAAGCCACATACAAATGAATTGAAATCCTGTTTAATTTTGATCTCCATTAGTTTGAGAAGGGCAGTTCCTAGCGTGCCACAGCTGAATGGGGTTCTCATTCCATAAGACATGGGTCTTCAAACTACGGCCCATGGGCTGCATGCATCCCACCGAAGCCCTTAATCCAGCCCGTAAGGACCATGAGGCTGCCCCGCCCATCCTTCGGCTGAGTGCAGGACTTATCTTTGCTAGCCCCGCGAGGTTGGAACGGAAAGGTAAGGCCAACAATTTTGGCCTGCAGACTTTCTGGAGGCGGGGGAAGTGAAAAATGGGGCTCATAGATGCCCCAGGAAGTCAAAGAACAGGCAAAAATGGCCTGTTTTTTTACCTCCCCCACCTTCAGAAGATAGATAGATAGATAGAGCGAGAGAGAAAGAAAGAGAGAAAGAAAGAGAGAGACAGAGACACAGACAGAGAGAGAGAGAGAAGGGAGACAGAGATTTCTCAAGATCCTTAGGGCTGAGAAGAATTGCCTCAAAACTGAGTTTTCTGAAGTGGACCACTAGATTCCTAAACAACTGAAAAAATGATCTAGTAAAAAGAATAGTCAACCAAAAGAGCAACATGCAAACAAAAGCAAATAAAACACCCCCCAGGAGCAAAACAAATTAAAGTTTAATTTGTGTGCATCGTTTAATGGACTGTTAAATTGGCCACGCCCACATAGTCACATAACCTAGCCATGCCCACCCACCCGGTCCGGTCCGGTCCCCCAACAGTCTGAGGGACCGTGAATTGGCCCCCTGTTTAAAAAGCTTGAGGACCCCTGCCATAAGAGATTCTAGGTTCTTGTTCTGAGGAATGCAGGTGTGGGAAGGAAAAAGGACCATCCCTGGGAACAAAACAGTAATCTTTATGCGTCAACCAACCTCAGAGAGCACCAAGGACCCCTCGTTTCAATCCCAGCTGCAAATATTCTCCTTTATTGCCAATTTCTATTTCATTTAGGCACCATTAGAACAGTTACGCCAGGTCTATTCAAATCCTATTTTGCTCCATTAGCTGAGTTCAGAGAACAAATTTAACCTGTCCCCCATTCATTTAGCCAACGTTCCTGACTGTTGATTTGGGCGATCATGCAGTCTGACTACAGATGAGGATAGAAGTTATAGACATAGGCTGGAAATAGTTGATGGATTAGGAGTGGTTAGCTAATCTTGGTAGAACATCACTGCTCTCTTGTGGTAAATGAGAGGAGTTGTGAGGAGAAAACAACCAACTATTATTTTTTCCCCTCCTTTCTTGGTTCTGTCGCATTACAAACAAACATGGGTATGACATGCAGAGGTGGGCTTCAAAATTTTTACCAAGGGGTTCTCTGCCCGGTTGCTGGGTGAGCGTGGCCATGGTGGGTGTGGCCTAGTCGGCCTCCTGCATCATGGCGGTGTGTGTGTTTTTGCCCTCCCTGGGCTCTGGGGGCTCTCATCGAGCCTCCGGGAGGGCGAAAATGGCCTCCCCAGGCTCCAGATGCCGTCTTCCTGAACTTCCGGTAGGCCCATTTTTCGCCCTCCCCGAGCCTCCGCACATGCCCTGCACTTACTTGCACTCAAAATGGGCTGCGTGGGGACTCCTGGGCGAGGTGAGGTGGGGCCAGCCAGGAGTGGGATTTGGGGGTTCTCTGAGGAGCCAGTTTGTGGGGGTAATAAGCTGACTTTGTATAAATATACAAAAGTATGAAAGCTGTTGCTTAACGCATTGTAAGCCGCCTGAGTCTCCGGAGATGGGCGGCATATAAATAAATTAAAAAAAAAACAAAAAACAGCAGAATATAGGTGCAAATCAGGTAAACCCAATCCTCTTCTTTCCTGACATTTAACTCATGGTTTTTTTCCCTGCCACACAAGTTCAGAGATATTTCCTTTTGCCATTGTTTAAAAGGTGAATGAGTTACTAAAACAGTTATTCTCTGGAATAAAGCCTGCTGCCTTAACCACTAAACCAACAATAAGCAGTGAACATAAAAATTAAATCAAAAGAGAACATTATAAAGAATAATAATAGACGGTAGTATAATAACTTAATGACAGCATAATGGGACAATCACTTTTAACCCAAAGACATTAATACCACTCTATAAAGCCTTGGTAAGAGCACACCTAGAATACTGCATCCAGTTTTGGTCACCACACTATAAAAAAGATATTGAGACTCTAGAAAAAGTACAGAGAAGAGCAACCAGGATGATTAGGGGACTGGAGACTAAAACATACGATGAACGGTTGTAGGAACTGGGCATGGCTAGTCTAGTGAATAGAAGAGAAGGACTAAGGGAGACATGATAGCCGTGTTCCAATATTTGAGGGGCTGCCACAGAGAGGAAGGGGGTCAAGCTATTATCCAAGGCACCTGAAGGCCAGACAAGGAATAATGGATGGAAACTGAACAAAGAGAGATTCAACCTGGAAATAAGCAGAAATTTTCTGGCAGGGAGAACAATCAACCCATGGAAGAGAAGTTGCCTTCGGAAGTTGTGGGAACTTCATCACTGGAGGCTTTCAAGAAGAGACTGGGCTGCCATCTGTCATAAATGGTGTTGGGTCTCCTGCTTGGGCGGGGGGTTGGACTAGATGACCTACAAGGTCCCTTCCAACTCTGTTAATCTGTTAATCACTTCCTCACATTGTGGTGACCTCACACATGCTATAAAGGTGGGATCCATCATTACCAGAGAGAGACTGAAGGACATTCTTGGGATTTGGATGGTAAAATAGTTTTGGGAGGAGAGTTAGGGGCTGTCCTGACCATTATTTTAATTTCTCACAATGTTATGTTGGGCATCCGAGGCAGTTAAAATGGAAGTTGGGTCTGGTTGGAGAAACACCGCCCCATACAATTTAGCACAAAAGAAAATCTCACCGAAAATCTTTCCTCAAACTTACAGCCAAACTTGCAACTACGGGTAGTCCTCAACTTACGACCGCAATTGAACCCCAAATTTCCACTGCTAAGCAAGACAGTTAAATGAGTTTTGCCCCTTTCTACAATTTCCTTGCCAGACTTGTGAAGTGAATCACTGCAGTTGTTAAGTTAGTAACATGGTTGCTAAGCGAATCTGGCTTCCCTACTGACTTTGTGAGAAGGTCGCAAAAGGAGATCCCTTGTCCACAGGACATTACAACCGTCATAAATATGAGCCAGTTGCCGACCGTCCAAATTTTGATCACAGAGATGCTGCAACAGTTGTGAGCATGAAAAATGATTCACTTTTAATAGTGCCATTGTAACTTTGAATGGTCACTAAATCGAGGACTACCTGTATTCCGAAACATGGGAAAAGTTTACCTCCGGAGGAATGCTGTCGTCCGAATCGGAACTCTCGTCACACTCGCTGCAGTCCAAATTCATCTGTAGCAGTTGATCGATGGTGGCATCTACCGCACCATTGTTGGCCCTCAAGACGCATTCAATGATGTCATAATCCATGTTGGGGAACATAGTCTTGAAATCCTCCATCGCCTGGTTAAACTCCAGCCTCCGTACTTGCCTTGCGGGGCGGCTATTGTTAAGTTCTTGAGCGGAAGAGCTATTCCTCGAGCCGCCATTGCTGCTGCTCCTTCGGAACAGACTTGTCATTTTGGATAACCGTTTTTGGAAAATGTTTAAACTTTTTCAAATCGGCTTTTGAGGTAGGAAAAGGAAGAACCGAGAGAAGAAATGTATAAACCCAAGGAGAAGGGAGGGCGAGGGGCAATCTGCCTTCCAGTGTTCTGGTCAAGAAGAAGCAACGCAAGCGCTTTGCAGAACGACTGGCAGATAATCCACCACAAAATGGTGGCACATTGGAGATGGCGAAACAAGATGGCGCCAAGGAAGCCTGCAAAGTTTCAGCCTGGATCGATCCACCACAGGAGGAAATTGTTGAAGAAGGACTTCTTCAGAGATATAAGAGCGTCCAAAGCCCCAGATGCATTTCTTTTACTGAAAAATGAAAAACGTGGTTTTAAAAAGGAGTAAGCCATGTTATAATATAGAAAATTGATATCAGTATCTCTCCCAGCCTCCCTTATATAAGACTTTTCGGTAGTTTTGCGGAACTCGAGATGAGTTTGCAGAAGAAATTCCTGATTTTTAATTATTATTTTTTTTGCCACAGATAGTTCTTGATTTACGACAGTTCGTTCTGTGACTGTTTGAAGTTACAACAGCACTGAAAAAAGTGAGTGTTGACAGTTTTTCACATCTATGACCATTGCTGCATCCTCACGGTCACATGATCAAAATCCAGACATTTGGCAACTGACTCATATTTATGACGGGTGCACTGTCCCAGGTCATGTAATAATCCCCTTTTGTGACCTTCTGACAAGCAAAGTTAATGAGCAAGCCAGATTCCCTTAAGAACCTTGTCGCTAACTTAACTGGCAAGAAAGGTCATAAAATGACGATCCCAGCTGACTGCCTGA